TACACTGTGATAATGGGGGGTGTAACGTTGCCTCTGTAGGTGTTAAATTGCCAGGGTGATGTTAGTAACAAACCATAGGGGACCTGTGTGTTTGTGTGTGAGTGTCTGAGTAAGTGTGTGTGCTTGTGCTTGTGCTTGTGCATGTGTCTGAAACCAACCAGCTGATAAATATTTCACTTGACTGACAGGAACTGACAGCCAGTGACAAACTTGAAGGATGAGCAGCCAATTGCAGATCAGAGAAGGGAGATGAGTTCTGTAACTTTGAATTTCTTTGGATTTTGAGTGTTTAGTCATGGACGAAGGAGAAGCAGACGAAGCAAGGGTGCTCAAAGTTTTGATGACTTCCAATTTAGGGAGCCAGCATATGATCGAGGGCCATGCAGGAAACATGCAATTGTGAATTGTCTACCGAAATTGCTAACTTTAGCTTATAGCACTAGTATTGATGGCCGAATGTAATTCCTGCAACACTCGTGAGGTGCCACTAGATGCTTGTTAGGGGGCACAGTTAGAAGCAGTAGACAAGTAGTGTATTAAACAAAAGCTATTGAAAGTGAAAGTATTTAAATGGACCACAAAGTATAAAAATATAATGCATGCATTTCATGTCACACTCGGGGGCCACTCAAAATGTTTCCTAGGGACTCCGTCTCTGGGATGACTACTTCACCTTGTGTTTGTGTATCTATAATAACATCATGAATAGATTAAGAACAGGAACCAATTAATGATCAGTATTATGAAAAGACAATCTGGCACCTTCCTACTTTAATACCATGACAGACTAAACTGTACTCATAAAAGGTCAGCAAAAGCTCATTTAAAAGCCTGAAGAAACTAAAACTGTGTGCTCTTTTGCAGCACTGTTCTGATGGGTTAATGTGAGCCATTTGATTGCAGTTCCTATTGACTCTTATGTTTCCATTGTCAGCTCCTTGGAGACTAAGCCTCTGTGTTGTGCCATGGATTTGATTTGCTCTATCAGAGCATTAAGCAATAGAGAGGGCACCTGTGTGAGGTGTGTGTACTGTTTGCATCAACAAAATGTACTTTTAAGTGGAATGTGGAGGTTTGCACAGATTTGTCAAGGCAGAATCGTGAGGTCTGTGTTTGCGGTGATTGTTTGGCAGAGACATTGACCATGATTTAAAGTGAATATATTTGAAATGTTGGCACATTTACAGTGAAGCATAAACTGAGTGTTTTGTCTTGACGAAGGAAAAGCAGATAAAGAAATATTTCACTGTATCCTGTAAAAAAAACAGTATGCACATTATATTTAATCAAGTATTCAAGTCACTTATATCTTTTCCACCATATGGTTAAATTCACTGCCTCCATTTGTCACTCATGCATTAAATCATTGATTGAGCTGCTTCTGTCGTGCCTGACCACTATAAACAGCTCACCACAGTGGCAGGAAAAGGAAAGTCTGAGTCAGATTTTGATGAACCTCAAAGTGTGATGGGTGTATCAGGCAGGTTTACTGGGTAAAAATAGGTCACCACAGGAGTTCAATGGCTATGTTTACACACTACAAAATCATCCATGTTCTGCCACTAGTCGGAGAAAGACTGTATTCCTACTAATCTGTTCACATGTTTGATGAAAAAGAATGTTCCACTTACACGCTTGTTTACATGCAGCTGAGCATACTCTGATTAACCCGCTCTAACATATCGTTTATCACGTTAAAATATAGGAAAATGGAATGGCTGTAGCTGCCTGTGTTTATTTGCTTCATTGCATCAAAATAGGATCTTTTAAAGTTTCCTGCTGGTGGTGGACTTTTTGGACCGTGTGAACACAGCCTCTGTTTTTCATGCTTTCTTAGGTTGGTGTTGAGATGTTTGTGCATATCCAAAACCCTGTTGATATCCAAGTCTTGTATAATAATTAAAATAAGTGTTTTTCTCCTGACCAGAAATGTGGGGTTTCTTTTGGGCATGCATCTCTACTCCAACATTGCAAACTGTTAACAAGTTGGTTTGTGTGCCACATCTCCATGACAATGCACAGAGCCGACCCTAAAAGGAGTCTGTGTGTCTTACTACCTCACAGGTGGTAAACATTTTAAACTACAGCTGTGAAAAGATACAATTAAAGCTTGAGTATTTGATTTGTGGGAATTAGGATCACTGCAGATTTCCATTCAAAGTGACACATTTTTAGTGTGAGCAGACATGTTTTTGCCTCTGTTCATGCCAACTTTGTATACATTGATGCTACCTTGTTCTTCTTGCTGCTTTTCTTTACATGAAAACAAACCTGCTTGTAAAGGCTTATTTACATCTTCATCTGTTTATTTGCATTTTGCATCAACATCTTGAGATCTGGGGTGTCGGTGGCTTAGTGGATAGAGTAGGTACCCTTGTACAAAGTCTTTGTCCTTCCTGCCTGGGGCCCTTTGCTGCATGTCGCTCCCTCTCTCTCTCTCCCTTTCACACTCAACTGTCCTATCAATTAAAGGCAAAACGCCCAAAAATAATTTAAAAAAAAAACAACAACTTGAGATCTTTAAGACTGTGCCCTTATAGATCCACAGCAGTGTGTGTGTGAGGTGGCTACTGTTGCCACTTCCTGTATTTGTCAGGGTGACTGTGTACAAGCTACTAATGCTTCATTCAAATAGGCCCACAACACTTTTTTTTCAGCCCCACTGTCAAAGTCAGGCGTGAGATTTGATTAGGAAAACAGTCTGAATATTGCACTTTTTGCATTTTCACACATGGTGATTTTTCTTTTCAGCTGTCACATTATGGTCCTCTGTCCAACTGCCGCCTGTCTTACTGAGTACACACATAGTCTGCCTTTCTAATGAGGGTTATGAAAAAGTAGTGAATGGGTCACAGTTATTTAGATGTACTCCAGAAACCTGGTATTAGATTTCTCACTATTTTAGCAAGAAAGACAGTAGCGTGCATCTTAAAAAAACCTGCAGAATCATCAAAGATAACAAAACATAATGTCCAATCAATGAATGATCAGTGTGCAGTGTTTGCCTGTTTACCTGTGGAAATGGTGACAGAACCACCAGTTGCAGATGTTTGTCAGTTCAAAGGTTCAAACACTGAAAATCATAATGTTAAATGTTAAGGTATATGACACACGTGACCATAACCATTTTTGAAACAATGAATACCTGCTTAAAGTGCAGACTCTCAGCTTTCATTTAAGGCTTTTTTCAAAAATGTAGTATGAACCATGTAGGAATGACAACCATTTCTTCACACAGTCCCCCAACTTTAAGGGCTCATAAGTATTTGGACAAACTAACATAATCATCAATTAAACAGTCAGTTTTAATACTTGGTTGCAAATCCTTTACAGTCAATGACTGCCTGAAGTTTTGGACACATAGGCATCATCAGATGCTGGGTTTCTTCCCTGGTGATGCTCTGCCAGCCCTTTACTGCAGCCGTCTGCACTTCCTGCTTGTGTTTTGGGTGTTTTGCCCTCAGTTTTGGCTTCAGCAAGAGAAACGCATGCTCAGTTGGATTCAGGTCAGATGATATGACTTGGCCATTGCAGAACATTCCACTTCTTTGCCTTAAAAATGTCTTTGGTTGCTTTTGCAGTATGCTTCAGGTCAATGTCCATCTGCACTGTGAAGCATCGTCCAATGAGTTTTGAAGCATTTGGTTGAATCTGAGCAGATAATGGTGCCCCAAACACTTCAGCTTTCATCCTGCTGCTCTTGTAAGCAAGACAAGACTTCACTAGAATAAATACAGAGGGTTTATCACAAGATGCAAACCATTGGTTAGCCTTAAAAATGGAAGGCCAGATTAGAGTTTGTCAAAAACCATCTAAAAAGCCTGTACAGTTGTGGAACAGCATACTATGGACAGATAAAACAAAGATCAACTACCAGAATGATGGGAAGACAAGAGAAGGAAGAAGGGAAGGAACTGCTCATGATCCAAAGCACACCACCTCATCAGTGAAGCATGGTGGAGGTACTGTTATGTCATGGCCATGTATGGCTGCCAGTGGAACTGGTTCTCTTGTATTTATTGATGATGTGACTGCTGACAAGAGCAGCAGGATGAAAGCTGAAGTGTTTGGGGCACCATTATCTGCTCAGATTCAACCAAATGCTTCAAAACTCATTGGACGATGCTTCACAGTGCAGATGGACATTGACCTGAAGCATACTGCAAAAGCAACCAAAGACATTTTTAAGGCAAAGAAGTGGAATGTTCTGCAATGGCCAAGTCATATCATCTGACCTGAATCCAACTGAGCATGCGTTTCTCTTGCTGAAGCCAAAACTGAGGGCAAAACACCCAAAACACAAGCAGGAAGTGCAGACGGCTGCAGTAAAGGGCTGGCAGAGCATCACCAGGGAAGAAACCCAGCATCTGATGATGCCTATGTGTCCAACACTTCAGGCAGTCATTGACTGTAAAGGATTTGCAACCAAGTATTAAAACTGACTGTTTAATTGATGATTATGTTAGTTTGTCCAAATACTTATGAGCCCTTAAAGTCGGGGGACTGTGTGAAGAAATGGTTGTAATTCCTACATGGTTCATACTACATTTTTGAAAAAAGCCTTAAATGAAAGCTGATAGTCTGCACTTTAAGCAGGTATTCATTGTTTCATTTAAAACCCATTGTGGTGGTGTACAGAGCCAAAATGACGACAACTGTATCATTGTCCAAATAATTATGGACCTGACTGTAACAGCAGAGAGGAGCAAAAGGCAGCCACTCTGGAAATAATGAACTAAGTGACTCAGCCTACACACACACACACACACACACACACACAGACACACACACTGAACACATACACAAAACTGTTGATCTATGACTTTTGTAAAATGACATGAACATGGAAAAGGATTAAGATGCTTAATGACTACAAATGTAACCACCTGTGAGTCCAGGGGAAACAGAGGAGACATCCGCTTCGCCATTTTGTCACAGCTCTGATCATGGGTCTACCTTTCTGTTGTTAAATATGTCTTTTTTTTCTTGTTTCTCTTCAGACTCTGAGAGAGAGGAGGACGGCCAGTGAGCAGTCAGAAGGAAAGACAGCAGAAAAGACGACAGACACGAAGGTGAAAGAGGAGGACACGGAGGACGAGAATGACGCGTACAACCGCTGCAGCCCTGTGGACCTGGACAAGGTGTGTGTGTTGTGTGTGTGTGTGTGTGTGTGTGTGTGTGTGTGTGTGTGTGTGTGTGCATTGGTGATGGGGGTTAGAAGAAGAGTGAAGAGTCATGAGGTTATTCACCCTGCCTTGTTCCAAAACTGTCCCTGTTTGTTAGTAGACTCTGAAGTTCTCACACGGCCAGACAAGAGCCTGTGCAAACACACACACACACACACACACACACACAGATGTGTCAGTGATAATAATGTACAAACACCTAACCACAACTTAAAGGAACCCACAAAATGACCATGTGTAAATCACTAAGTCATGCAGTGCTAGCTTTAATTTGTGAAGAAAACTTCCCAAAACAAAAAAAACAGTGGAACATTTTGATTTATTGCGGGCCACATTTAACAACAGCAGGACTATATCAAAACATCTGTTTACAAACTTGCACACAACTTGTGCCGTATATCCAGGCATATGCTCAGTTCTTCCCAAACGTGTATTTTTGCTGAAAACCCCTACTGTAGTATTGGAGTCTGGCTTTGAAGAGAAGATAGATCAGTTTCACTTTCAATCCGGTTCAAGTGCTACGGCTTTAGTAAAAATGCAGGTGTTTGGGAAGTATTGAGCATGCAGTTACTTTTTTTTTTTTATTATTATTATGGCTGAATAAAAAAGACTTTGATATTTCTACATGAGTTGTTTAAGAGTTTGTATAGTTTTGCTGTTGTTAAATGTGGTACTGACCCCCAGTCAATCAATAAATCAGTATGTTTGCCATTTTCCATGGAGACATTGAAGGTTATGGTTTGACTTATTAATTTTAATTTTTTAATTATTGCTGTTCCCTTAAAGGAATAGTTCCTGTCTGCTCTTGTGTGAACAACTTAAAGACGGACACCACCTAAATAAGGAACTCTAATATGTTATTCCCATAGCCTTGGGAAAATCAATCAGTATTTGTCAACATGAGCTACTCTCTCTCAAAGTCAGAAACCAGAGAAGTGAGTATCAAACTTGTGATGTCATAGGGCATTAAGTCTGGAGCTGTTCCGCAGACAGTGAATAGGAGACTGATTTTGTGGACCTACACAATGTTTTTTTTTTTCTTCTTTTTCACAAATGAGCTTTATTCTGTGGTAGCATTCTCAGTTCTGAAACAGGAAATGTACCTATATACTCTGAGCAGCCCCTTGGGTGCTCTCAGTGTTGACTATAACACTCAGTACGTTTGCATGGACAGTTTAATTCCAATTTTAATCGGAATGAAAGGCCATTCCGATTAAAAGTGGTCATGTAAACGGTCATTCCGATCAAAAAATGGTCATTCCGATTGAAAATTCAATCCGATTAAAGGGGGTGGTTTATTCCGTTTGTCATTCCGAATGAAAGAAATTTATGCGCATGTATACACTCATTCCTCTTTAAATTCATTCCGGTCTTTCTGCGCATGCTCGTTTCCTTGCCCTTCTGGCGCGATGACGTATATAGCGCATAGCAACGGGCTGCATAGCAACAGGCTGAGATAGAGCAGTCTGACTTGTTGCACTCACTGGTTTCCATTTGCCACAGCATGGTCTTCTTTCTCCCTTCTCCTCCTCAACAGATGAAGCATTAGCAGAACAAGGTTGTTGTCGTACTGCTGCTTCAAGAATATAAGCAAAACACGCCCGAAGAAGGCACTAAGAACGGCGTCGTCAAGTATCTTGTTATCCAGAGCGAGGACTACAGTGTTTTCTTCCGGTAAACGTAAACACGTAACATCCGCCCCGCCCCCTATCCAATCAGAAACCTTCCCTGCCCCAAACCTTGCGCAGACCCAAATAAAGGCGATTGAACTGATCTCCCGTGTAAACCCTCATTCAGAATGAATATTTCCCATGTAAACTACCTGGAAAGACTTTAATTCCAAATGATTTCATTCAGATTTATTTCATTCCGAATAAGAAGCCATCATGTAACCGTAGGCAGTGGTTCCCAACTGGTGGGTCGCAGGTCAAGTGACTCACCGACATGTCAAATTTGGGGCGGCAGTAGCTCAGTCCAGAGGGTCGCCGGTTCAAGTCCCCGTCCGGACCAAATGCAGAGCGTGGACTGGTGGCTGGAGAGGTGCCAGTTCACCTCCTGGGCACTGCTGGGGTGCCCTTGAGCAAGGCACTGAACCCCCCATCTGCTTAGGGCGCCAGACCAAGGCAGCCCCCTCACTCTGACATCTCTCCACTTTGTGCATGTATAGGTCCTGTTTGTGCCTGAGTGTGAAAAAATTGAATTTCCCCTCAGGGGAATTAATAAAGTATATAAAAAATTAAATTGAATTAAAAAACACACTTTATTTTGTAGTACAGTGAATTTCTGGGACAGTGCTTTTATTTTGAAGTGCTGAACTGCTGTAGAGTGAGGGACTAACGGACATCTACTTAACAGAGATGGCAAACTAGCTCAACAACATGGCCAAACACAATGCTCAGTATATTAAACTGCATGGACCTTGAACTAATGACAAAGTAGAAAACCAGACCCCATGGCTGGACCATTTGGGAACTACTAGTCTATAACTTATTTCCCAATTCATTGTGTTTGGAGCAGCTGCAGACTTTATACCCTGTGACATCACAAATTTGAGTTTGAGCCCTCTAGTTTGTGTATTTGGGTGCTTCATGTTGCTGTAACAGCATACCAGGTCTTTGCACAACACATTGTGATGACCGATTCAACCAGTCCGTCTTGCTCACTCTGTTGCCAGGCATCAGTGTATTGAGTGAAATGCACGTCTCTCGACTGTTCACATTGTAAACCAGACCTTGACTGGGCCTTATAAACTTTAACGCTTCTCAGTGTTTCCGTCTTTACAGCTACGCCGCATCGTTCAGTTGTTCCAATAAAACAGAGGATTAAATCCCTGTACTGCCTGTGTGAGTGTTTTGGTGTCATTGTAAAATAAATCCCGTGCCTCTCACACCTGCAGAGCGCCAGTGCGGTGTGGTTTCAATAACCAAACCCATAAAGCCTTTCTTTTGTTCTGGCTGCGGTGCTGTGAATGTCATGGTACGTTTCTCATGTGCTGTCCTGTCTGGGGATTTAGAAACAAGATGAAAACAGGGTGTCTGCACATCATAACAGCATTTTATATAAACTTAAACTCTGTGTGTGTGTGTGTGTGTGTGTGTGTGTGTGATTAAATGTATGTGTATATAATGTCAGGACAATCACTCACACCAACTGTTTGATCTGATGTGCTCTCAATAAAGTAGCTACCTTGTTCAGTTAAGCCTTGTTTTATTACGTCGTGTTGTTGACACAGTCCAATTGGCGTTTACACACAGTACAGAGAGAAACTGGAAAAGCAGGAATCTCCCATTATTTAGATACTCACCTGTCCTTTTGAATCAAACATCCAGCCAGTTGATTGTGAGTGTGGGTGTGGGGGTGTTTTATCTGAGCTGCGTTACACTCAGGAATGTGAGGCATGGTTTCACAAATACATGTGGCTCAGTCTTTTTGTTTGTTTTTTTGTCTTTTATTCACCTGTTAATTTTAGATAAAGAAACCATCATCCTTATATTTGGTCTCATGAGCAAACTTCACCTGTTAGATGTTAGAATGCCATTATTATGGCTGGCCTGTCTTGATATGCACAATAAATATTAATCATCCTTAATCTTTATTCTGAAGATCAACAGCATGCCAGTCTGATTGTGATTTATATATGTGATATATATATTCGTAAAGACTTTCCGCCATGTTTTAGAGATGTTCAGATACCATTTTTTCCTTCCGATTACCAGTTGCAACACCTGAACTTGTGTGTCAGCTGATAACAAGTACCAATATGATAACACTGCATAAAAAAGAAATGTAACACTTCTGTTCCCTACTAACCCTGTGTGGTTGTGAAACTATAGCTATTGTTGTGGTATGGCAAGGCTCAGGTTAAAGTCTTTGTAAAACATGATTGTTGTGTTGAAATGTGCAACACTAATTATTGCATACCGTACATATTACCTTTATACTGGTGGGACATGCAGTGTAAATGTTGCCAAATTGCTGCCATGGCTGCCGCTCTGAAACAATAGTTGCCACTGGTGGCACAGTGAACTTGCTGTATACTGCTTTAGAGCAGCACAAAAGAACTGATTTCCAGGAAAATTGCTATTGTATTTGGGTTTAAAACGACTTGATTAGTTTATTAGAAATGACACAGTATTGGATGGGTGCATAGACTCACGTATGTGTGACGTATGTGTGATACCTGAGCCAGTATTTTTGGCAGCGTCAGAGGTATTTGTGATACTGGTGTCAGTAACTGTGACCTGGCAGTGAGTTTTAAATCCAGTGTCATTTTCTGGTTCATAGTGAAACTAATTTGCTTATTTCACACTCTTATCACTTGTGTGTGTCAAGTTCCTGCCCTTGTCACAAGTGTTCTTATCCTCACCATGTGACAGGCGATTTCACTTCTTTGTTTTTTTTAGAACAGGCTAAACATTTAGTCAAGATGTGAGTTCTCTTGTTGACTAATAACAGATGGAGTGCCAATTAGCACCTGACAAACATACATTTCCTGTTGACAAATGTGAATGTGAATATCAGAGTTTTCCAGTTATTAGTATGAACATCTGGTTGCGTAGGGACCAGCTGATTTCATGGCAGTTGTTGTAGTTTAATGATTTGTATCTGACCATTCAGTGCCAGCTAAAGTGCCTTCACATGCTAACCCAACCTGAGTGAATGTGTTTGCATGGTGCTTGACGTCAGGCACAGTGGCTACATGTTGTGTGGCAGATTTTACAGCCGAGGAGAGATCATCTTTCTTTGTGTCGAAATGAGGGTATGTGATATAAACACATTATCAAGGTGGTGACCTGTAATTACCTTTAATCAGCCCAAGTCTCAGCAATCAACCTGACGCAACCGTGTCAGTCCGTGCCTGTTAGGAATGTTGTCAGAGGGGTATCATACGTGAAAAATCATGACCTGGGCAACAATCATTTTTTCCGAAAAAGTAAATCCTAAACACCATTTAAAGTGCAAGAGTTTGGATAATATGACGCTCCTGAAGTAATGCAGCTGAAATTAAGTGTTGGCTGTCTGCTTTAATGTGATCATGTGATGTCTTTACTCTGGTCATGGGTTTACTGTACTCTTCTTCCTCAAGAAAAAATCCTGATGTACGATCAGCTTTCTCGCCCACTTTCCCAGCCTGAAACATTCCTATGGATTTTACAGAACTGACCACAGAGCAGTGTGAAACTTGACTGTACTATCTTCATTGTTAATCCACACCAGAGCAGTGTGTCCCAGGTGTGGCTGTGAGCATGAGGATATTGTAAAGAGCTTATAAAAGCAGCTCAGTCTTTGGTCTTTGGACTCAGAATTATTGTTACAGACACAAACACATACAGGCAGTCACTTCCTTATTGGACAAGTCTTATTATCTTATCAGTTATTACTCTCTGCTGCCACCTGCTGGAGGCAACACAGTCTCTGTTTTAACACTTGCGTGTGCTTTCTCCAACACAGTCACATTTACCTTTAAGAGAATATGGTGTACTAGTTTCTGATCTGTTGTATCTGTACAGGATTTGGTGGATTGGCGGAAGCCCTTGGCATGGCAGGTAGGCCACCTGGGAGAGAAATATGATGCCTGGGTTCACCAACCAGTCGACAGACCAATCAGACTGTTTGGAAACCCCTTCCTGGAGGCCAGCACCAAGACTTCCTGGTAAGAGAGTTTGTCTCTCTTTTATATTATTTAAAGAAATATGACAAGATACAAAGGACACTGTAACTTTTTTTTGTTACATATATAAATGTATGTGTGTCTGTGTGTCTGTGTGTGTGATGCTAATCTAATCACAAACATACATTCAGTTTAATAGACTTGCAAAAAGTCTCTTACCTCTTTTCCACCAACATGGAACTGGTTCTGTCCCGGTTCCTGCACCTAATTTTGAAGTGTTCAGAGCATTTCGACCAAAAATATATTGGTTCAAAACCCAAAAAATTGGTTTTCTGCTGGAACCAAAAAAATAGCAGGTTTTTCTTGACCTGACATCAGAGGGCGTGTCAGATTCTAAAGATTGGAAAAAGAGGACTGAGAAGACAACAATGGAGGAATCAAGTGAGAAAGCATCAAAGAGTGTGCAGTGGTCTCATTGATAGTTGGTCCATGCTTGCTTTTTGGTAAAAACAAATAACTACAATGACATCAAAAATCTGCAGGTAATCCATGTGATCCACCATTTTGTTACTATTGTTAACTTCCAATGTGCATAGTGCAACACCCTCTGTTGATGACACATCCTTGATCACAACGGTTCTGTTCAAAAATGGTGGAAACGTGGGCTGATTCATGATAGCACCGCGGTTCTAGGAATCCTGAACTGAAACAGTCAAAGAACCAGAGTTCATTTGGTGGAAAAGGGGTATTTGTCCGTTCCTGTGCCCACTCCTGAGTGTGAGCAATTCCCAGAAGGTTAAAAAACATGATGACTTTCCTCTAAACCGATATATTACAGCAGGTTTTGTCATCTACAAATGAAGCCTTGTTGCAGAAGCATTATTGACTCAGTTACTGTACCTTTTGACTTATTCAGTAATTCCTAACCAGTGGTATTTGTAACCCATGGGGTAGATCTGCAGATGCTAGGGGGGTATGTGGGAATATTGTAGAGTGGCTGAGCTCATTTAAAAAAAAAAAAAAAGAAAAGAAAAAAAAATCATAACTTGGTGTGATTTTGACCTTTAATATATTTACTTTTGCTTCCCACTAACCTGGATCAGTTGTAATACCTCAACATCATGTGCTAGGATTGAGGAAAGTAAACAGAGAAATCGAAGTACAGAGCTAACAGTGCTGGATAAATAACTCCCAAGTGTGTACTATAAATGCAAATTTGGCCAAATCCAATGGAAAAAAAAGGAAGGCAAACCTAAACATCAACAACCTCACGATCAATATGTCCTGTATGGAGAAATACTATTGTACTGATATCCTATTCTATATAATCAAAAGTGTCCCTTTATAAATCAGTTGAAAGGAACACATTTAGAACATGAAGGATTTCTCAATAAAGTGGTACTTGAACTCATCTGAATGGGCTGCTGGAGTACACCAGATAAAGAAAAAGTTTGGTAACCACTGTACTAACACATATAGACTGTTGTTTTCATTGATCCCTAAACCTATTTTAACACTGACATCTTAAAGGTCCAGTTTGAGTGACATCTAGCAGTGAAGTTGCAGATTGCAGCCAACTTAAACCTGTCCCATGTGCCAAGCGTGAAGGATAACTGCTATGGCCAATGCGAAAATGTGAATGGCACTATCTAGAGCCAGTGTGTGGTTTGTCCGTTCAGGGCTACTGTAGAAAAATGGCAGGCCCACTCCATATGTAGATATAAGTGGCTCATTCTAAGGTTATAGAAACACAACAGTTGTTAGTCTCAGGTGATTATACACTACTGAAAACACTTAACCCACTTCACCTTTTTCGGCTAGACTGAGGTTCCTGTTCATCTCACCTTCAGGCCGCATCACCCTCAATAAGATATGATATGATGTGATAGATAGTGTAAAACAGTTGTGACAGAAAGGACCTTACTTCTCAGAGAATGTGACCATATTCGTTTGTGCTCTCTTGCTACAGGTACTGGGTACCAGTGGTGTGGCTTCCTATTGTGTTTTATTACAGTTGGTACTGCTACACCACCCTGGCAAAGGGCACCACCAGACTACACTTTACTTCAGGTAACACACACACACTCACTTGCATGCACACACAGTCATATACAATGCATGCTGATATCATGAACACTGAATCACCTGAGACCCTCGCACACTCTCATTTTCATTTATACATCCACATTCTCATTTGGGCATGCACAAAATCATACCATACATTCAGTGTGTTGTCATTTTCATGTCCTGTTCACGTGTATTTATGTCAATATCTTTATGTGTGTGTGTTGCCAGACTTCTCTATCCCGATCCCTAAGTACATTTTCCCGCTGCTCTTTTTGATGGGCTGGTTCTTATGGTCATTCATCGAGTACTGCATCCATCGCTTTGTCTTTCACATGAAACCGCCAGCCCATAACTACTACCTCATCACGCTACACTTCCTCCTGCACGGACAGCACCACAAGGTACAAACACACCACTGCTGAGGCTGAAGGACAGAGTGGATCTCATCATCATAAAACTGGTTTAATCATAAACTTGTATTTGCTTATTATGAATACTTTATGGCTCTCTTTATGAATAATTTGGTATTGCTGGTTAAGAAACAACTGCCTCTGTATTCCGCATAGTTTCAGTTCTCTTAAAACAAATGTATTTACTGACCTTTAAGAGGGAGATAGCAGGTCAGCAGTATGTGCCCCACAGAAGTGGTATAAATCATCTGAAAGCAGGGAAACTGAAGATTAATTTGAGATACAGCTCAGCACTGTGTGTCAGGTCTTTCTAGTCAAAAAATATGTCATAAACATTGTATTTTGGGGTATGGAGGTATATGATGGCCATTTCTCTCCCTTAATTTTGTCTCATAAGTTGTTGCAACAATTTTTTGGATTGATACTATTTTTAAAACAGATTTAGTGCTACATTTGTTATCATTTTTTACCCCTCAAAAAATGATAACAAATGGTCAAAATCATGCCAGAATACCACATTAAGACACCAAGACCTTAAGAAACACCACAGAAATATCCATACTGTGGTTTGGTATTAAAAAAGTTTGACATTTGGAGATTAATATAAGAATCGCATTTTTCGTATGTTGGATGGCAAGCAATTTTGTTCAGGAAATTGCTCAGAAAACCTACCTTATTGTCAATAAACCTATGAAAGCCATCCGTCCTCTGAATACCCAAGGCCTCTAGTTTGTGGTTATAAAGTTTCATAAGACTTTAATTATCCTAGAGGTCACAACAGATCTTTTTATACAGTGATGTCAACTTTCACCACCATTTTGCACCATTTAACCCCCTTCCTGACAAGCTAGCATGACATGGTTGGTACCATGTTCTCTAGCTTTAAAACACAGCCTGGCACAGCCTCTGAAAGACTAATGTCAGCCAAGGATTGAGGGTGTCCTAGTGGAGTGGAAGAAGTTACCTGTTCTTTTTGCTAGTTTCATGCTTCTTCATGTCTCAGTGTGTGATGTCTGTCTCCACAGTCTCCGTTTGACGGCTCCCGGTTGGTCTTCCCCCCCGGCCTGGCCTCCTTAGTGGTGGGAGTTTTCTATCTAATCCTCTGCAAGACGCTCCCAGAGATCCTGGGGACGTCCGTGTTTGTTGGAGGCCTGTGTGGCTACGTCGTGTACGACATGATCCACTACTACCTTCATTACGGTTCACCCAAGAGAGGCTCGTATATGTACAGCCTGAAGGCCTACCACGTCAAGCACCACTTTGAGCACCAGAGGGCAGGTGAGCACTGGAAACATGAAATCTGATAGACATATACGGCTTAGACCCAGACAGATCTTACACAGTTTGTGGGTTTGATTCTCCTTGCGTCTGCTCTTTGTCTTATCTGTCTAATGTCATCTGTATTTCTCTTTGCAGGTTTTGGAATCACCTCCACGTTCTGGGACCACCCCTTCAACACAGTCATCCCCGATGAGAAATTCTAACACAGAAACGGCTCTCCTGAAGGGCCAAAGGACTTATCAGCCCCCCTCCTTAGTGACCAGCCCACATGCTTTAACCACCCTGACACCCTTAGTCCAAACACTGCAGCCATAGCTTTCACAACCAAAGAGGAGAGTCCACATCTGAGGACTCCTGGGCCACCGCAACTAATCCATACATCCATACCGTATCACATATCGTCCTGCTTTTTGATTCCAGCCAGCAACACATTCTTTGCCGAAGCTAAGTCATCTGGATGTGTGTGTGTGTGTGTGTGTGTGTGTGTGTGTGTGTGTGTGTGTCGACCAGTCTGCACTTTTTTCACACTGTGATCATTCCTGCACAGCTGCAAGGCCTTTCTGTGCCATCTTTTTTATAACCAAAGCAGCATCTACTACTGCTGTGCTCTTCACTGCACTGACATCACCAGCCAACATAGCCATTCACAGCATCATAATGTACACATAGAGGGGGGCAATAGAGAAAGAGAGGGACACACACACACACACACACATGAACAGACACGAACAGACACATACAAGCACGTGCACATCTGTGTATGTTGAGTGTTGTGGTTCAATTTAAGGTGAAGTAATGATGTTCAAAATCACACTGAAGAGATACTCAAAATACACACTTTACTCCCAACCCCTGAATATTTGCCAACAGCATATAACACATGAACAGAATCACATCTATCAGTGGAAATGCACACGCACACATAGGCACATGCACACATAGGGGCCTGAGCAATGGACCAAGCAGAGCAGCTGCACACCCACTATTTGACTTAGGGGATCAAATGTGTGTTCTTGCATCCCTGCTTTTTCATCAACTTTTTTAAATATTTGAGTTGGATCACAAAGTTCTCTCCATTTCATATGTAGTATAGTACACAATAATATAAGCACACAATACAAATACTCTGTTTAACCCAATTTAGGCGAGGGGTGCAAAAAGTATGCTGCAGTTGTAATTTGGCATTTTCAAGCTTTTCACCAGAAATAAAACAGCTTTCATTTGATGAGAAGTCAAAGGAAGTCCCCTCTCCCATTAGCGCCAGCGCTGATACCACTCTTGCACCCTCACTTTTTCTTATAACCAGGAGCACATTGTCCAACTTCCCTCGGAGGATGACGGAGGGAAAAGGAAGTGATAGATGGTAGGTGAATGTGGAAGACGGAGAAGGAAGGGATGTGACAGAGTGGCAGAGAGTGTGTGAGAGAGTGAGTGTAAAGACTGAACAAGAGAAAGCCCCCAAACCGGTGAACCAACTCAGGAAACAAACTTCATCTTTCCTCTAAACTATCTGCAGCTTTTCCTTATCATCTGTACGTCTCTCTTTGCTGTCGACCACTAAGCTACCCAGCTACGCTGCTACACTCTGTTATTCTGCATGTTTTTAACAGTCAACAGGAGTTCCCTCCACCATGTTTGGTCTCGCTGTGTTTTGTAAACAGCTGTGAACAGAAAACATCTGGATGCTGAGAGATTTATTTGGCAGTTTAGATTTAATTTATTACTAATCAGCAAAGCTGCAGAAGTGAAATGATACTGCAGGGCACGAATGCAATGTTCTGATCATGTCATGTAAAGCAGAGTCCTGAATGTTTGAAACCACTGTGGAGATATATTTTTGCAAGTCTTTTGTAATATTCCCGTCGTTTTCTTTTGTTTTTCATCATTAATGATACAACAAAGATGTAGAAAAATATTTTGTAAGATGCTTTGTACAGGAAAAGAGATTCTTTAATCGCACCAGCTTGAGCAGTGTGAGCAGATGTTTTCATATTGACAGATTAGACAGATACATTTAGATGTAAAGATGGATGGATGTGATGTCATGGTGTCAGAAGGACAGAGCTGAAGGCATGAGGCCAGCCTGTCAGACTTTCCGCTGTGGGGATCTAGGGGTCAAAGGGTCAGTGGGCGTGATAACAATGGCTTCATTTTCTCAAGGGAAAATTATTTTAAAAAATGATTGATTTCAACAGAGACTAATCAGAACTTGGATCTCTGGAAAATTAAGCTGAGGGTGAGTTTTAGTCCCTTAGGACCCACCCTCAAGTCTCACTCCATCCATTGAAAGCCACTGTTTTTATTGGCCCTGCAGATCCCTACAGGATGACGATGGACGAACCATCTGACTGGACAGCAGGAGGTCTTGACAGTGACTGGCGGATCCTCGAAATGTCTCCTCTACACACCTGACAACAACACTTACTACTAAAGCAGAACAAACTTAATTAAAACCATTTACATAAATACGTTGAGCACAGTGAGAATAAACTACAATTGCAGAAAACCATTTGTATCTACTTTCCTAGTTTTAAGAGACACCCCATTCACATAATATATTTAAAAAAATATTATAAAAAATATTAAATAACATGCAAAATCTATTTCAGACTGTTCTAACTTTTGAAGAAGAGTAAAATGATTCTATTTGCATTGCTTTTTTCTTAATAATAAATGCAGCAATAATAATGTCTGTAGGTAAACCTTAAGAGGGCTGTGTCACCAGAATACTGTTAGTGATTATACCAGTCATGGCCGGCAGGATTGAGCTATAACTGCACAGAAATATGTCTACAGCACATATATCTGTTTAAAAAAAAAACACAACACCGACTGTCTTACAATACGCAGTCCAGCTGAATGAATGTCCAGTGTATCCTGAAGAAAGAATTTTGACTTAATGACTGTACCACAAAGACGTTGCTTCAGAGAGGACCAAAAATTATTTTTGTTGTTGGTAATAATGGTGGAGATAGTGATGACCATAATAACGATGATGGTGATGATGAGTGTAATAATGCATACTGATTGTGACGGCTGCTTGGCAAAGTGAAATGACTCCACCTGTTGGAATGAAGTACATATAGATCTTATTTATGTATATTTATATGATACAGATGAAAGAGCAACTTGTACTCTGTGTTTCTGACAAGTGAACTTTTCCTTGTGCTAAATGATGCAGCATAAAATAATATTTCCTAAATCTGTTTACTATAATAGCTTATAACTTTTATTTTGGAATTTTAAATGTCTATGCAAATGCAACGGTATTTGTAAATAAATGTATATTTCTGATGTCAGTCTGTTTTCGTTTTTGTTTGACCACTGTTCATTATACATTTAGAAGTCAAGGGATCACCAACATTATCATACAATTTATCTTAAGGGCGACATGAATGTCTTATTTTGATGAAAATCCATCAAATAGTTGTTGGGATATTTTAGTCAGGACCAAAATGGTGGACACCCAACAGACATTGTTGGTTCTATAGCTATAGCACTTGTGCAGCTAAAATATACACATTCAGAACAGTTTTAAAGATGCAATAATAGCATATAAATTACACTCAGATAGCCCCATATTGTTTAGAGCATTTGTTCTTAAGATGTGGTAATGTTGGTCAGTTAGTTGATCAGTCAACCACTTTTCGTCCACATACAGTCAGGTCCATAATTATTTGGACAATGATACAGTTGTCGTCATTTTGGCTCTGTACACCACCACAATGGGTTTTAAATGAAACAATGAATACCTGCTTAAAGTGCAGACTCTCAGCTTTCATTTAAGGCTTTTTTCAAAAATGTAGTATGAACCGTGTAGGAATTACAACCATTTCTTCACACAGTCCCCCGACTTTAAGGGCTCATAAGTATTTGGACAAACTAACATAATCATCAATTAAACAGTCAGTTTTAATACTTGGTTGCAAATCCTTTACAGTCAATGACTGCCTGAAGTGTTGGACACATAGGCATCATCAGATGCTGGGTTTCTTCCCTGGTGATGCTCTGCCAGCCCTTTACTGCAGCCGTCTGCACTTCCTGCTTGTGTTTTGGGTGTTTTGCCCTCAGTTTTGGCTTCAGCAAGAGAAACGCATGCTCAGTTGGATTCAGGTCAGATGATATGACTTGGCCATTGCAGAACATTCCACTTCTTTGCCTTAAAAATGTCTTTGGTTGCTTTTGCAGTATGCTTCAGGTCAATGTCCATCTGCACTGTGAAGCATCGTCCAATGAGTTTTGAAGCATTTGGTTGAATCTGAGCAGATAATGGTGCCCCAAACACTTCAGCTTTCATCCTGCTGCTCTTGTAAGCAAGACAAGACTTCACTAGAATAAATACAGAGGGTTTATCACAAGATGCAAACCATTGGTTAGCCTTAAAAATGGAAGGCCAGATTAGAGTTTGTCAAAAACCATCTAAAAAGCCTGTACAGTTGTGGAACAGCATACTATGGACAGATAAAACAAAGATCAACTACCAGAATGATGGGAAGACAAGAGAAGGAAGAAGGGAAGGAACTGCTCATGATCCAAAGCACACCACCTCATCAGTGAAGCATGGTGGAGGTACTGTTATGTCATGGCCATGTATGGCTGCCAGTGGAACTGGTTCTCTTGTATTTATTGATGATGTGACTGCTGACAAGAGCAGCAGGATGAAAGCTGAAGTGTTTGGGGCACCATTATCTGCTCAGATTCAACCAAATGCTTCAAAACTCATTGGACGATGCTTCACAGTGCAGATGGACATTGACCTGAAGCATACTGCAAAAGCAACCAAAGACATTTTTAAGGCAAAGAAGTGGAATGTTCTGCAATGGCCAAGTCATATCATCTGACCTGAATCCAACTGAGCATGCGTTTCTCTTGCTGAAGCCAAAACTGAGGGCAAAACACCCAAAACACAAGCAGGAAGTGCAGACGGCTGCAGTAAAGGGCTGGCAGAGCATCACCAGGGAAGAAACCCAGCATCTGATGATGCCTATGTGTCCAACACTTCAGGCAGTCATTGACTGTAAAGGATTTGCAACCAAGTATTAAAACTGACTGTTTAATTGATGATTATGTTAGTTTGTCCAAATACTTATGAGCCCTTAAAGTCGGGGGACTGTGTGAAGAAATGGCTGTAATTCCTACACGGTTCATACTACATTTTTGAAAAAAGCCTTAAATGAAAGCTAAGAGTCTGCACTTTAAGCAGGTATTCATTGTTTCATTTAAAACCCATTGTGGTGGTGTACAGAGCCAAAATGACGACAACTGTATCATTGTCCAAATAATTATGGACCTGACTGTATCTCAACAACTATTGGAACTATTGGATGAATTTTGATGAAATTTTGTGGAGACATTCATGGTCCCCAAAGGATAAAACATATTGACCTCATAGTTATTAGTAATTACCTAACTTCCCCTCTAGTGCCTCAAAGGTTAACATTTTGTTATGATGCCTCCTTGCCAGCGATAGCCATGGCTGGTGGTGTTTTCGGGTCATCTGTCCATCCATCCGTCCTATTGTTGTAAGATCTCAAGAATGCCTTTAAGGGACTTTCTCAAGTGGACATTTGCATGCAAATTCCCTCACATCTAAAGAAATTCCCCAAACTTATTAGGTCACTGTGACCTTGTCATTCTTGTAAACAGGATATCTCAAGAACGCCTTGGGGATTTTTTTCAAATTTGGCACAAACATTCACTTGGACTCACAGATGTACTGATTTTTTTTTTTTTTTAAAGATATTTTTCTGGGCATTTTTAAAGGTAGGGTCTGGAGGATTTTCCAGTTGCTGTTTGTAAACACACATTCAAATTCGGCCCCTCCTATCAGGCTCAACTCTCCCGGGTGTATGGAGCCCGGAGGTACGGAAGAAGGTTTCACAGAAGAGGTTCAGGCAAGGCTCGCGCTGGTGCACACTTGGACACGCTCGTGCACGGCACCTGCGCTCTCTCGGAAATCTCCGCCCAGAAGCGGTCCGAGCTCACAAAAACATCAAAATACAGTTAAAGGGCAGGAGCTCTGCAAACAGAGTCACCACCACACACGAGTAGAAGCCCATAGGTGATGATTAAGCAGGATTTCATTTGTATACGTCTATATTTTGTTTTGTTTTGTAAATCCTCCAGATCCTACCTTTAAGCCTTTAATTGATAGGACAGATGAGCCTGAAGGGGGAGAGAGAGGGGGAGTGACATGCAGCAAAGGGCCACAGGCTGGAGTCGAACCCAGGCCGCTGCGGCAACAGCCTTGTACATGGAGCGCCTGCTCTACCACTAAGCCACCGACGCCCCACAGATGTACTGATCAGAATTTGGTGCTCAAAGGTCAAGGTCACTGTGACTATGCATCTCATTGTTTTGAACACAATATCCCAAGAAGGCCTCATGGGAATTTCCTCAAATTTGGCACAAATATCCACTTGGTTTACAATTTGGTGCTCAAAGGTCAAGGTGACTGTGTCCTCACAAAACATGTTTTTGGCCATAACTTAGGAATTCATACACTAATTACTGTGTAATAGAATGAAATGATAAAGTGAAAACACTTTTTATCCAAAAGGTCAAAGGTCAACTTCACTGTGACATCATAATGTTCTGTAAAAACACTTTTCTGGCCATTACTCAACATCATATCTTAGAAATAGAAGGGAAGATATTGGGTCAGATACTGAATTGATGAATCTAATTTTGGGTGTTCACCTTGAAACTGAGCAGATTCTGTTGATCTTCTGTGCTGCCGGGGGTGAGCATCCATGTTTGTACAGACATTAATTTGAATTGTAAGAGAAACTTGATTGGTGCGTGCAAGTATACAATTTTGAGGTGGTAATTCTAGTTTAGTGAAATGTCTTGACAGCTTCATGGAATGCCATAAAATTTGGTACAGATGTCCATGATGCCTAGAGAATTAATCCTGATAACTTTGGTAATTATCTGGCTTTTTATGTAACACTACCACCAGGTCTGCAGTGCACCTTGTGCTATGCATTTGCTTATAATGTCATCTTTGCTAAATCAATTACATTCCCATCAGCCTTAGTTATACTTTGTTTGCCACTAATTTGCAAATGTTAGCATGCTAACATCAGATGGTAGCTCTGGTTACCATTACCTGCTAAATATTAGCATGTCATCATAGTCATTTTGAGCATGTTAGCATAATGATGTTAGCATTTATCTTAAAATACTTGTGTTCCTTAGTCCAGCCTCAGAGCTGCTAGTGTGGCCAGAAACTCGAATACAAGCAGAGGTCTTCTTGTTCTCCAAATGACACAGTGCATGTCTGAGTTTTAAGCAGTTCATACAAAGAGTGATTATCCCTTCTCAGACTTTAAAGGAGACATGTTAGGCTCGTGACATGGTAAATATTCTATTATTTTTCTCATACTGTCTGCCTGCATACACCTATATTGACCTTCTGTCTGAAACACTGTCTTAATGCCTGTCTCTCCAATGCTCTACAGTCTCATAGGTGTGGCCCCATTCTTATGAAAGTTGCTCAGTGATGCATAAAGCCAAAAAAAAAGTTTGACTTCCAAGTGTAAAATTATCACATGGTGCACAGAGCAGGCGCACTAGCATCTCCTCCCAACTGCTTAGTCTCGGGCTTGCTCTCATGAGTCACAGTGGTAAAATAACTGGATCTGGTTATTGGTGAAATTTACAACTTCAAAAACCTCAAAAATGATTTAAATAAGAGCTATGTGGGAAATTGTACCTCAAAAAAATATCTGCCATTTTCAGGTGTCTCTTTCACAATGTAAGTCAATGGGGAAAAAGGGCCCCCTGGCATCACCTGACAGACCTGGATGTTTTAATGACAAGGTTTGGCCACCGTGTCAAATTGGCTTTGAAGTCTGATGCTGTTCCTGAGGGCTTGTCTGTGGCATGAATGTATACTGCTTGATTTATCCTTGACACATTTGTAAGAGTTGCGAGTCCCCACATAACCAAAGTGATGTCACACCATGAGACACACCCCTTTGTAGGGGTCATGTGTGGAGGCTTTTTGCCTGTACCTGAACATTTGACATTTCAGTTGATGTGGATAGGCCAAGGAAATAAAGAAGCTATGTTGCAGGTTGGACTTTTTGAGACACTGTCCTTTGGGAGTTTGGAAGAATATTGGTCTGATGCAAGAAGAACTCAAAGAGAGACAATTTTTTTTCTCTCAAGGGTATTTTGCCTAGCCCCACCCTACTGTGTTGTGATTGTCTAGTATCTGTTACATCTACTGGTTGAGGTCAGACACAGTAATAGTAAGGGTAAAGAGGTCATGGATAGGGTTACTACTAGTCAATCACAGCACAGTATGGCGGGACGAGGCAGAACACCTTACAACCACACACACTGCAACAGGAATCTAATTCTGAATCTGGATCACTGGCAGCCAAGATTACAGATTTCCCTAAAGTTTGGCTCAGGTAAATGCTGTTATATATGTGTCTCTGTCACATAATGTTTGCTCAGTATTTATTCATAAGCTCTGTCCACTATTCTTTACACATGGTTTTTTGAGAAATGACTGACAGAGTCCGGTAAAGAAGAAAGCATTTGTTGAGAAGGGACAAAGGTGATATATATCATAGTATCTAACAGTCTGTACGGTAATGCCAAGTGTATTTATGAATCATAATGGTCATACTGGCCTCGGTGTAACTTTACACACACTACCCAGCTGGTCGAGTCAACTTTCAGGCCAGTGCTAATCAATGACCAGGCTTTTCTGCTGGTTCTTGCATCCAACAACAGAACCAGCAGCATGCTTTGCTCGTACCGTGTTACCAGGTCTGGGATCACTGTAATGCACGTTGACGTTTCACGAGCACTGGCTCAAAGTTCAGTTCACACAGATTAAAATTAACTAGTTCACTTCCATAATTCACAATTTTGAATTACTGTACTGTATGATTTGGGTGCTGTTGGCTCGTGGTCTTACGCTTTGTTAATGATTTCTTGAGATCATCAGTCACTCACAGATATTTCTGAAGATAAGTCAGATGCTTCAATGTATTGTGTCGTTTCATATTGGTTGCCGATGTGGCTGGAGTTCAAACCTGCTTGTTCAGAGCCAGTGGGCACAATTTACATAGAAACATTTGAATTTTTTCTGTTTGAATCTGTACTGATTTTTTTTTTTATAAAACTCCTTTGAATATTCGTATGAATTGGCTTTAGCAGTACCAGTAGCTGTTTTGTCTGAATTGCCAGTTGCACTGCATGCTGAGTGCCATAAATTCTTTGACACTGTGAAACAAAGTGCGTGAGCTCATGTACATGTTCATTAGTTGCAAACAGATAAATTCAGTTAAGCGTTCACAATAGGAAATCACAATGACATCAGTGTGGGTGGCAGTGGTCACCAAGGTGGAGTTAATGGTGGTTTGATGGTGCACAAATCCAGTAGGACATCATAGCCAACAGCAAATCTGAGCCGCACATGGTTACACATGTTTCATAATAGATGAAGCAGCAAAAAAAGAAACAAGATTGTCTTTTCTCACACTTTGGGGTCTCTAAACACACCGTGGACACATATTTATGTTAAAAAGCCATGAAAAAGTATATTTCGCACAATACCTCACTTTTAATATTAATATTTTTAAAGATTTTATGTTTGAGAAATGAAAAAAAATAAGTAGGCAAAGATCAGAAAACCTAATTCTGAATTGTGTAAAGCAGATTTTATCTGTTTTTATGTTGTGCTTATCATCTTATGACCTCTGACATTCCTCTCAGGACCCATTTTAGGGTTCCAGCCCTCATACTGGGAACCACTGATGCTGTAGGATGTGGTACAGTGTAATTTGTTTCAGTGTCAAACATTGGATTTGCTTCATTGTTTGAGTACAGTTAAAGCAGCAGGTTGTCTTAGGTTTCAAACCAAAGTGCAGTTGCCCTGGAGCATCTTTAGGTCTATGTGTGTGTGTGTGTGTGTGTGTGTGTGTGTTTAACACACAGGCGGGTGGTGCAGTAGGACCCTGGGCTGCAGCTGCAACAGTAAAGCAGAGAGCAGGCAGAAGGGAGGAGCCTGAATAAAAACCAAACAACCCTCCACACCCTGCAGTCTCTGGGAAGTTCCTCCGCATTCCTGCCATACACACACACACATTATGCACATAGCCGGAGAGCTGGGAGGAACCTCACACTGAGGCTGGGTGAGTGTGTGTGTGAGAGAGAGTGAGAGTGTGTTGTTCCTGGTTTCTTTTCAGGAAAACTGAATAGATGTTGTTGTGTTCAAGTTCATGTGTGTGTGTGTGTATGTTTTCAGACAGGAGTTTGGAGGGGCCCTGCTGCAGGACCAGAGACCAGAACCTCTTCATCAGCGCTCCCTGCCAGGTGCTGTATTTCCTGACTCATCCTCTTTCACCTTATATGTCCCTCTCTCTCTCTCGCTGTCACTGTCTGTTTAAACAACTCAATCACAATAGGAGGGACGTTTGCACTTTCAGTTCTGCCTTCCTGTCTCTGCCAGTCTCCCATGAGTTTGTCTAAATGTCAGTGTGTCTTCAAGCTCTGTAGCGATGCAGTCAAAACAGCGGAAGTTCTCTTATCTGCTCTTAGTGCCAAAGTAACCGCTGTTTCCTTGTGAGAAACTAAAACATTTAGTGCTGACTTATATCTGAGGGGTGCAGGAATTAACTGAAAGGACAGCCAGAGTGTAAATGACAGAGTGCAGTATGCAGATCACTGGAAACTGCTGCATGTTCAAGCCGACATGCAAATCTAAGAGCTCCATAACCAGTCTAATATTGTTATAAAGTAATAGCTGGTGATGTAAATGCAGAGAGGAGAAATGAAAATTTTAACTGTTAAGACATGACTGCAATCAAACATGTAAATGATGCATTATAAAAAGTTTATTGCAGCATCTCAGAACGGAGGTTACAAAGGTTGGTGGCACATTAATAGAGTCCTTTAACAGCTAACTAGATTCTGACTTTATTTATGGCTTCATGACTATTAATCTGCATGTATACCCAAGTTATGACTACATTAACATCAGTATGCTAACATGCTCACATTACCATTGCTAATATGCTGGTGTTAAGAAGGTTTAATGTTTACCATGGATTCCATTGTTGGCATTCTAACATTTGTTAACTAGATCTTAACACAAAGTGGATCTGAGGCTCATGGAAAGTTTTGCAGGGATGTAGTCACAAACTGTATTGGACTGAAGGGAAAATTTGACCAGATGATGCTGCTAGATGAAAAATTATGGGAGTATTAAAGTTATAAGTCACCCTGAGGTGGACGTTAATATATCTGAACCAAATGATATCCAATAGTTGTCGAGACATCTCATAAACTAGGGGAGAAGTCAGTGTATCAACAAAGTCATTAGCATTTAACATCTGATAACCAAATGTACCTGTACGAAATGCCAATCCATCTCATAGGTGTTGAGATAATATACAGAATAAGTAAAAACTGCGATCCGCTGGTGGCGATATTTGTTAAGTCAGATTAGGGCCGCAGTTTTAGAAACTTTAGAATTTTCAAAGCATCAACAAAAACAACATTCTCAGGTTTAGCTGACTGAGTGCCATTTTAGGGAACCAACATATGATTAAGGGCTGCACAGGAAAAGTGCACTCACTGTTACGTTTTATGACATTTTTATGACTTTTGTTTGACATGGTAACATTTAACAAAAACAGAAAATCAGAATTGGTGGTGCTATATCCTACATAACACTCATATAACATTCTAGTTCTTCACTTCTTAATACATTTCAAAGTAACAAAATAGAAAGACAGTACATTGTCTGACAGCGACTACGTTTACATGCACAAAATATTCTGTTTTTGCCTTTATTCCGAAAGAGACAATCTTTCTACTAATGGCTTTTTTAATGGCTAATTAAATGAATATTCCACAAATACCCCCATTTACATACAGCCGTTCATACTCCAATTACTGTGCCATAATATACAGAAGTGGAACGGCTGGAGCTGCTTGTCATTTTGCTTCTTTGCATCAAAATTTGATTATTTTTTTCCTACCAGTGGAGGACTTGTTAGACTGTATGAACACAGCCTTCCTCTTTCATCCCTTCAGTCACCTTCTTGAAAAGATCAGTGTTGTGATCTTTGCGCATATCCAAAAACCTGCTGATATCCAAGTCTTTCATCTTGTTTAAAAGTAAGTTTGTTTCTCCTTCTGACCAGAATTGTTGGCTTTTCTTTTGGCCATACATCTCTACATCAGCCCTGTGAAACTGATGGAAAGTTGGTTTGTGTACAACGTATCCATGACAACGCACAGAGCTGACCATAAACAGACAAGGCTATGTGACGCAAACTGTGGTAAAAACCCCAGTTCAGATGCATGTTCCAAATGTACTGTATTCATGTCCAAATAATGCTTTAAAACCAGAATAATCATATCCCAATCAGAAAATGCTGCATTTGGAAAAAGGCCTAATTCATAATATCTAAACATAATATGCTGTTTACATGACCCTCATCAAATTCAGAATATTGTCATATTCATGATAATACTCAAATGTTAGTGTGCCTATAAACGTAGCCGTAGATTGTAGCAACAGCTTCTGCTGGGGTACAGCACTTGCACATATCACATGCAGAACTTCAGTGGGACTTCACTGTAATACTAGAACCTGTATTGGCAATTTGTCGAGTTTATTTATTATTATGATTACATTTGCTAATGATTGTTTCGAAAGGGTGGTGTGCAGTTGCCTTTTGTAGCAAAGCCAACAAAAAAAGTCTTTATGTTATCAGTATATTGTTGGTACATTTTGAGTACATTTGAGTATTGGGTGGATGCGTCCTCCCTACAATATACAATTACTGCCTAATGTCAGATCACTCAAGTCATTAGAATTCACCCACTGGGTACCGTGAATGTCTGTGCCAAATTTCATGACAATCCATCAGATGGTTGTCAAGGTATTTCATGCTAGTACGGTTAAAAACGTAAAACAAGTAAAAGTGTAACAAGGGAGGAAAACCTCAAATCTTTGTACAGTTTCACCGAGCAAAGAGCAGTTCTTTGCAGATGATCTACCTTCTTAGCTCTCCAGTTGGGAGATAATGGAGACACTGATAACTAATGGAGACAATGATGATGATGATGTTGACTGACGTTGTTTTGTCAACATTTCTTCACAGTCTCACCATGAGTAAGGAGGGAGGTGATGAAGGTGTCAGCAGCAGCAGTGAAACAGCCCAGCAACCGGAGGAGAAGACTCCAGCTGGGAAGGGCCTGAGCAAACTGAGTGCTGTCACCACAGGACCAGGCTGGACTAAAGTTAGTTGCCCGTGCTGTTTCTCGGAGCGGGTCGAGCCGTTGGTTCTGGTGAAACTCGGAGAGAAAGTTCGCCCTGAGACAAAACGGTGGCTCATCAGAGTGATTGGAGCTCCTCAAAAAGATGGAGGTGAGGGCTCGAATATCAGTGAAGCTCCAAGAGTCCTGTGGAGCTGCTTATCTGTGTGCATTGATTGCAACCTTGCAAAGAAAAACATACACATCAAACATTCATGAGCCTTTCACTCTCTCATAGTGAAACAGGAGTCATTGCCTACAGGTCTATAGCATTTACACATTTTACCACTGTAGCATTTGCATGTGCATGCCACTTAGCAATAAAGATAATTATAGTTAAATGAGTCCATGTAAATGAAGACCAGAGGTGGTTTGAATTTAACTAGGACTGAAAACATATCAAAACAGGGGCATACTTGTTCTTGTTATTTCACTGTTCAAAATATATTTTCATGCATGAATGGAAAATTGATTTGTAGACTATTATTTATACTTAACGGCCATTTTATTTGACTCATTATGGTCCTCGAGGAGCTCTGCAGGAGTAGCCTACATCTGTTCATCTCCTTTTTTTTCTTTTTTTACTTTACGCTAGTGGATCAGTCATTAAAGCCATACTGTGCTGCCAAACATGTTCAGCCCCACAGAACTTTGAAATTGTAGCAGAGATCCCAAAGTTTCCAAAGACACCAAATATATAACAAGACATCTGGAATATTTCCATGTGATGAAATGGCTCGGTCCTTATAACATGAAGTTTGTGGTTTGAGTGTTTCCCTCAGAGTAGACATCATGTTATTGCAATATAGAGCTGGAATAAAGCAATACACAGCATGCTGTTTAGAGAAGGGTTTAGTGAGGTTGATGTCACTTTTTGGACGGAGGCTCCATCTTGTGAGGATCGTGTGTTACCTGTGCCTGCTGCGGTGGTCAGGCAATGCACTGATCATGATAAACAACATAGTTTGATATGACTTGGCAGCCCAAGAATGGAGCTGATGCACTACTTCCACTCACATACCCAGACATTATAAGATGTCTTGTTTTAGGACTGCGTGCATGCAGTGTGGTAACAGAGATAGCAGAACGCATATCTCATAAGATGGTACCCCCACCCTACGTGATGTGCCCAACCTTGTCATTCTCTATATATGACCAGTTCGAAATTATTTTAACAAACCTTAGAAGGACATATCAGTTTTTTTCAACCTGGATCTTGTGCTCATATTTGTGGCTTTTCTGACTCTGAGTCATGCTATCATGCACCCACGACCTCTGTTGTTGCAGGAAATGTGATTCCATCAAAACAACACAGGCTGTATCAGGGCAAGCCATGCAAGACTCCTAAAGCTTTCCAAAAACATCAACGTTATATAAATGATGAATTTAGAAATTACCTCCCTGGATTAGCTATTTTACCCAACAGCATAGGGATCTCCCTCCAGGGCAACCAGTCCACTAACCAAGCTAGCTGTTTTATTACAAACTACCTTAAACTGCAGTTATATATAGGATGCTTTAGAATCTATACAATGGAGGTAGGCCAGTGAGTGCAAATTCAGCATTACAGAATAATACTGAAATTTTCCTTTAAAGTTACTTAAAGGAAAATAAACAGAACTCCTCACAGCTGTAGATGGTAAATTAAATAAAACAACTTTTTCATATTTGCTGGAACTGTCACTATAATCACACAGCACTAAATGAGACAGACAATCTGTGAAAAAAATTACCCCCCTCCCCCCGCGTATTCTACTGCCATGAAGCATTTCTAATGGCCTTAATGTACATGAACGAAAACAGCCCATCCTCAGAGCTGAGGATTCTCAAACACATCTGTCAATCACTGCTCGTGAACTGCAGTCAAACTGTCAAACTACGCAACGCTGATCAAATTTTAGTGTACTGTTTAGCTGTAAAATGAGAAAGTTTGTGACCTTGCCATCATGTCGAAAACGGTTGAGCCAAAACTAAGCACTGCCCAAAAGCTGGACCAACTTTCTTGTTTTACAGCTAAACACTACACTAAAATATGTTTCATTTTTGATCAACGCTGCCTAGTTTCACCGCAGTTCTTGGAGGGATTGACATGAATGACAGGTGCGTTCGAGATTCCTTGGTTCTGATTGGTTGTTGCTGACTGTGCCGATTTTAGTGAATACCATTAAAGGCAGTAGTAGATGTGATATTTTTCACAGATTATCTGTCTCGTGTCTTTCAGATTATGGTGACAGTGAAAGTTATATTTCTAAGAGTTACCAACTGTAGCTTTAATTTCCCAGGAATCTTTAACAGCTGCCATCATGAGGTTATTGCCTCTATTTTAGGATAATATAAAAAAAAGGTTTCTTTCTGTGTGATCAGCTCAGTGTTTTAAAGGTAGTTATATTTTTCAAGTCTGTTTTAAAACAATACTCCCATTCCCATATGAACATTTAAATTCTGTTTGGTTGCTGTAATTATTCCTCCTCTCCATACTGACCATGAAGGGATCCTTAATTTCTTCAGAGTTTCAGTGCTCCCTCTTTGCTCCACTGTTTAACTCCAGGTGCTGAATTACTGGCCCACCCAGGCGAAGATGCCAGTGGTGACATCATTGTGGTCGCTGCCCCACGCTGTACATTACTTAAGGTCACTGAAGAGTTGGGTCTGTGTAAGACTTACCACACCGGGGAGGTGGAGGCCTTCTCCTACCATGACAGAGACAACTTTAAAGATTCAGGTACTTTACAAGTTGAAACCATTATCATAAGAGGAGGTGTATGTTAGTTCTGTAATATAATTAAAACATGATCAAACATGGTGTCAAATTAAAAGGGTGCCAAGTTAAGTTTTACTGTCTGTTTACTTTACCAGGTGCTCAGATTTCCATCTGATAAAAAGTCTGTATTTGTTTGGGATGAAATGTTGCACACTCATTCTGTCAGCCTGTAAAGGGCTATCATTTTATTTTGTCCCTCTGATCTAATAGTAGCTTCCTGTTTCCAAGCCATAAAACTAAAGCTTTCGTCATGAACAAGCAGTCTGGCAATTACACAAAAGTTCAGTTGTGCTGGGTTTTTCCATTGCGACTGCCCAGGGCAAATTATGTAAGTCCACTTTGGTTATTTAATTAAGTGTATTCTTTCGCTTCTTAAATTAAATAAATCTTAAAAATAAAAAACATTGGATTATCCAAAAAATGCAATGCAAACCTAGCTCATGATCAAAACTGTGATGATGTAACACTCAATGTCTGAAGTGTGTTTCTGTGTAAACGCATCCCTGCACACAAATCTACTGAGTTCCTGTCTTTAAGGTAAAAGTTCCTAACCTGGGGATCCCAACCCCATTTAGGGTCAAAAAAAGCTTCACAGGAGGTCCCGAGCCTTTCTTGATTTCAAGAGATGTAAGAAAATTCTTGCTAAAAAATATACAGTTGGCATATATCTCAGCATTTCATTCATTCATGTGAAAAAAACTCAATAAAGTTATTTTTAAAGTTTATATTATTACTTAAGGTATATACTTGCATTATGCATTAGAAAAATACTTGGTTAAAACATTCAAAAAGTTAATAGAACAATGGCCAAGCAGTAGGGAGAAGAAAATGCTGTGTCGGTAAAAAAAAGAAGCCTATTACTGTAAGTATGATTGTTGATTAAAAAATAAGCCAGTGTTAGGGAGTAACCAGTTACATGTAATTCAATTACAAAGGTGTAACATAGGTGTGTATTCTTTTTGGTAAAAAACTTATGTGTAGAATATAATGTTCATTCTGTTGCTTTGCATCTTTCCGCCGTGCAGGAATATCAGATGTAACACCAAATTCTGTGACCCAGTCCCAGACTCCATTAAAAAATCATTGGGGTTTTTTGAGTTGTTGAGTGGTTAGGTCAGGGGACTAAAAGTAATACACTGAGAGTGTTTACTTAGCATGAGCAACAGGCAGTTTGTCATAAAATATTCAGTCCTTCATTAAAGGTCTCAATATATAACTCTTAATGAAAAATCATGATAGAATTATTTGTAAGCCTGATTTAATAAAGAATAAACAAAAAGGAGTATAAAAAGGGTAACGCAGAAAAGGGCTAGGAGAGAGGGAGGGGGAGGGCCATTAAGGGTTGGAAATAAGTAAGGGAGGAAGTAGTGGTGTAAGTTAGGGTTAGGGTTAAGTAAAGTATTAACTTTTTGCCTAGTTCAAAACATCTGTTTGAAAAGTAATCAAAAAGTAATCAAATGTAATAAATTACATTACTCTGATGAAGTAATTAAAATAGTTACATTACTTATTACATTTTTAATAGGGCAACTAGTAATCAGCAACCTTTTTCATTCAAAGGTAACCTTCCCATCACTCCATGATGCAGACAAAGAATCCTATAATAGTTCCTAAAAATAAGAAAACTCATTTCTGATGCAAAATTCACAAGAAATCTTCTCAAAATGTATCTAAATTGCCCGTTTAACACAAACTTCCTGCAGTTATTGCGTTCACTATTTGGGTTAATTGTGCAGTTTATCAGTTGTTCTGTGCTTTTATTCTTTTATGTTGACCATAATGGTCAGTTTACTCAGTGATAGAAAAGGGCCCGGGTCCCTCAAGGAAAATGATTGGGAACAACTGCTTTAGGGTAAACCTACAGAGGTTTTAGGGTGATGAATGTTTTGTGTTAGGTGTTGACTCATTGTAACTTAAATTATCTGGTTAGATGTTATGACAGTTCAACCTCGAGAGGAGTCCCACAGTGTCCATCTTGGTCTGGTGACCCTCTTGGAAACCCTGTGTTTGTTTGTTCAGTTTGTTCATAGAAATCCCCTTTGTTGATGTAAAAGTGGTGCAAGACACAGTTGTTGTAGTTGGATGAGCTGATCCAAGCTGAAGTCGGTTTTATCAGAGCAAAGGTACCATTCTTTGTGAATGTAGTGGCTCAGTCCATAAGGACTTGGCTTGGGAACTGATGGGTCGCTGGTTCAAGTCCTCATACGGACCAAGTATGGAGTGTGGACTGGTAGCTGGAGAGGTGTCAGTTCACCTCTTGTGCACTGCTGAGTTGCCCTTGAGTTGGTTTCTGAACAAATACCTGCAAAACTATGACATACTTATTAGCCTTAGCTGTAGCCTACATTGTGTACACTATACAATACAATACAATACACACTCAAAATCTGTATGTTATAATTGCCATTGTGACTTTGTTAGTATGCTGATGTTAGCATGTTAGCATGTTAGCATGCTGATGATGGCTGCAGACTCTTGGTCTTGTCCCTTTTAAAAGTGAATCTTTAATTTGTGTGCGTGTTTGTGTTCATGCATCACCGGCTTTATCCATCTACGTCTCTTCATGTGTGTGACAGACAACATGGAGGTGTTCCTCACTCTGGCAGAGCGGCAGCACATGGTGAAGTATGAGCTGGACGGTCTGCGAGCGCAGAGAGACCTGAGAATACCCGGCATGCCTGACAGCTTCGCACTGCAAAACCGTGACAACATCTGTGAGTGCTCTTGCTGTGTCACACACACTGGAAAGATTTCCTCTGAGATAAATACTTTATTGGGAGGATTTTTGTTTTTTCCGTTTGTCACTTGATTTGATCATTTCAATGAATGCCTCGGGACAAACACGCACACACAAACAACAACTCAACAGCTGACGATCACCACTTGCTCCATTCTTGCAGTGCATCATGTCACCACATTGTAGTGTCCTATTCAGTCTTTAGAGTAATCTAATCATCAGTTATGATTCTGTTTTTTGGACATATTGACAGCCATGATGTTAATATTTGTTGTTGACTGCTGTCTTCACATTCAGACAGAATCCAGATGTATTATGTGTAGGCTGTCCATGACTGGCTGACCTCAGCTATTCTCTCATCACATTCAATCAAGAAATTGCCTCGGTCAGCATCAGCCTGAGTGTGTGTGACGTACTGTATGTGTGTGTGTAACTGTACATGTGTGGATCAGTTCTGTCCCTCTTTAACCCATGTTCTCAGGCCATTCTGGTTTGCAAGGGTTGTTTTGATGTCATGTGTGTGAAACTGAACGTTGTTGCAGGGCAGAAGCTCGGGTCAGCTGGTGTTATTGTGGACACGTATCCCCTCCACAACACGGACAAACTGAAGAGTCTCAGTGAAGCCTGGTACACTGGGAATCAGCTGGCTCAGCCGCTGGGTGGGTGGAAATACAACACACACACACACACGCACACACACACGCACACACACACACACACACACACACACACACACACAAGCACACACACTACCTCATGACTGCTTGTACACTGTAAAATCTGACAAGTTGATCCTAAAATCTAGGAAACCAATAAAAAATGTGAGTAAACGTAACTATTTATCTTAAGTTATGTTTACTTATAGGCTAAAGATCCCTTGATTTTTTTAAGATTAATTTCGGTTTAACATTGTACGCACACGCACATGCAGAACCTGATGCAGATATATATAAATATATTATAATTCACAACAGCTAACTTTGTGGTTGACAGTTTGTATTTCCTGTCTGTAAATCAACTGAGGCATGATGCACTGACACCAAACACCTGTCTGCTGCTTTATCCAGATTCAGTCAATGAGTATTTTGGAAGCTCTGTGGCTTTCTACTTCAGCTTCCTCGATTTCTACACCTGGTCTCTGCTCCCTCCAGCGTTACTGGGCCTGACCATCACATACTTCTCAGGTTGGTGTGTGGATTTATCATTTATTTTTGTCCATGTATACTGTCTATGGCATTTATGATTCCGCTCTTCATCGTTTTACCATTAGAATTGAGACTTCTTCATTTCTCAGAAACTTATGCTGCGTCTCAAGTACACTCAAATGTAATACACTGCATATATATGTACTTACTAGTGTAGTACACAAATTTTGACAGTGCAGTGTGGTCTCAAATCAAACGTGGCTGCTCTGCTCTTAATGGAGATGATGGTTACAGGATCTGAAACTTTTCTTCTTCTGCTCGCAAATTGCAACCAGGTGAAGCATTTTCGCCAACATTTGACAAATGATTGTCACCTGCCAAAATGTATGCTTGCTATATCTACTTGTTTGCTCACTTGTCTTCTCATGTATTCATTCATTTATTTTATTAAGAATGAATTTACATGCACAGCATGATATAAACATACTTATCAAGCATCTGACCACAAATTTATACTAAAATCTTCTACAGTGAAGACCATATAGTTTATGCCTATATTAGTTTATGTAACGTCAGTGCCAGATGATAAAATGTGCCACTCATAGCTAGCTAACAAGCTATTGTCAGTATTGGTAGTAGTATTAGTACCAAATTATTACAGAATTAACCCAGTAGAGGATGACTGAGGGTGAGAAATGTCTGATGCTGTACACTCAACTTTCCATTATGAGTGGACCATCCAGGTACTTACAGTGCACTGCATTTTACCTTACTTCTCAGTGTGAACATGCTTATGCACTCAAAATAGCAAATAGTACAGAAGAATCTGATGTGAGACACAGCATTCTTACCTTAAAGCTGCACAAGGCCATTTTTAAATGTAAATTATACTTATTACAAAATTAAGCAGCTGTTTGAGCTTAAAATGACTCTGATGCTGATTTTCACTGGCTGACGTGTGATGTTTTACGCCGAAACATAACAAAGAAACAAGAGAGGATTGCAACAGTACTAAAAGTCTGCCATATTAATGGCCCTGAGAGGCTATATCACTCTTTGAAAAAAGAGAAGCCTTGTTAATCTTATCAGTGGAAAGCCAAGAACAGTTGTTGCACTAATTTCATTTAATCCTTTAATTACCTTGGTGAAAAAACTTTTGCTTTTTAAAATAATTATGCTGTATCACCAGAAAACTTTAACAACCCTTATCATGAGATAATGAGGTAATTCAGCCATGATTTTGAGAGAACTGATTGAATAAAATATTTGTAATCCAGCTGTTCTTGGCTTCCACACTCATCCTACATTATTCCTGGGAAAGAAAACTCATTTTTGCCCACTGCTATGTAAAGCTTGGCCTGAGGGTGGTAACAGAATAAAGGCTGTTTTGTCAAGTGTTAGCATGTTAAAGCATGTGAACATGCCTATGGTTACTGTATTGGGTGAGTGTGAGGCAGCTTCGAGTGGGATCCAAATGCAGACAGACCAGGCAGACAGAAAGAGTTCAAGGCTAAGTGATTATATGAGAGTACATGAGCTTACTGGTATGGGTAGAGAAGTCTACACAGAGGTGACAGAGTCCACGGGTAAACAGTCAGACAGGTAAAGATTCCGGTTAGGTTACAGGTTACAGGTTCAGGATTCAGGATTCAGGATACAGGTGGCTTGAAAGCAAAGTACAACGCAACATTGAAACTTCAACCATCCGTCAGGAAATAAGTGAAAATACATAAATACTGCCAGTCTGATGGGGGAAAGTAGAAACAGGTAAGCTAGGAAGGTCTGGAGGGACACAGGTTACTGAAGGACTGATGAGGGCAGGTGGAAAGGTCAGAGGGCATCCGCTGGACAGGTAAAGAATGATAATAAATGGGTTTGAAGAGGTGGGAATGTAGCTGGAGCACAGACTGTATGCAAATAATGTACATAGCCACCGTGATGTCACCCATTGGTTTGAGGACTTGCATTTTGAAGTTCAGCAGTTTGGCTATCGCCATCTGGGATTTCTGATGCCTCACAGGGGGCATCATGGGTAAATAAAACTTTACCCCTGAATAGTTGTCATTAATGTTGAAATTAGATACAGAGGCCCTTTTGTAACCAGGTTATAAACATGTTTATTTCTGCTGTAAAGTTGGTCATTTTTTACATGGGGGTCTATGGGGATTGACTGGCTTCTGGAGCCAGCCTCTAGTGGCCATTTGAGGAACTGCAGTTTTGGGTACTTTGGTGTTGGCTTCTCTTTTCAGTCATTGCTTGGGCTGGAGGGAGGGAAATACAGGCAGAATGTAACATTTATATTTTTACCATGCATGTTGTTGAATGTTAGGAAAGCCTTTAGCATGTTAGTATGTTAGCATGAAAATTTCTAGCTCCGAGAATGCGCACACAGCTAAATGGATACTAAGCGCTTCTCGTCCATCACAGGTGAGGTTCAGAAGGAGATCGAGGAGTCAGTCTCAGGCTTGCCAGCCACAGATCTTGAAGATGACTCAGGACCAGCTGTCGGCGGTCACATGATCCAGGCGGTCTTTAGCATTCTCTGGTCCACAGTTGTTATGGAGCTGTGGAAGCGTCGGAGCTCCTCACTTTCCTACCGTTGGGGGACCCTGCACCTTGCCGAGCGCTTTGCAGAGCCCCGACCTGGTTTCCACGGTGACCTCGGGGTGAACCCTGTGACAGGTCGTGTGGAGCCGCTCTTTCCTGAATGGAAGAGGGACCTGCGTATGGCACTGGTGTCGGTCCCAGTGGTGGGGCTGTTTCTAGGTACAGCTTGAATTCTAAATGTGAATTGAATGAACCCATCAGTGCATATGACTGAGCTGAAAGATACAATGATGTTCATTGTTTGATTTATATGTAAAAGAAGTATCAGTGATGTTTTTCAAAGGTCTGCTCACCAATAAAACATCAGTTAATGTCAACTGAAGAGTGTTAACATGTGACAGATGCAATACTCTGCTCTTTAATATTGCAAACACTCTTCTCATCCCTGCCTCTATCCTCATGTCTCCTGCCCTGTCACGTCTCCCTCTGCAGGTTTAGTCATACTGGGTATGATTGGTTTCTACTGGGGGGAAGCCCAGGTGCAACAGCTAAACACAGACTGGGACTCCCTGCTGTCTCAGACTTTGATCTACATGCCCTCAGTGCTTCACATCGTCTACACAAACATGCTAGCGACTGTTTACAGGACAGTGGCACTGTCTCTGACTGAATTTGGTGAGTGAGATGGAAAGATGAAGCCAGGTTCAAGAAAAGGGTTACAGGAGGGAGACTGGGACACAAAGAGAAAAACAATTTGATCAGCTTATACAGTCTTACTACTGATTAATTAGCTAATCATTTCTCTTATATTTCCCCTTAGAGAACCACAGAGAAGAGTCTTCCCATGAGAATCATCTGACAGCCAAAGTCTTAGTGGTTAGTTCCTCCTCTCCTCTCCTCTCCAAACATTAGCCCTCACATCATCTTAACCCAGCAGGCTTTCTAACCAGCCTCTTGTCTCTCCTCTCTTAGTTCACCTTCTTCAACTACTTTGCAGTGCTCTTCCACATCGCCTTCTTCAAGCAGGATGTGCCTTTGCTCCGTAAGGTAACAGCTGAGCTCTACAAATCTTCCACTAGTCTCAGTAAAGCCGTGTGTCTTTTAGCAGATACTCTAGTGATTTAGCAATGCACTTCCATAATTGCGGAAACTTGATTTAAAAAAAAAAAAAAAGGTTAAGGAATAAATCGATGTAGCAGAGGCCGAGATATCCTGATCATTATAACTGATGTGGGTCAAGATCATAGACTGTGTAAAATAATGTAAGTAGGTAGCCACCGGTGACTTTACCAACTGGTTTGTGGACTGCCATTATGAAGCCACGAGTATGGCCTTTTGACCATCATTATCTTGGTGTTTTGGGGCCAGAAGTCACCATATTTGGAGACTGGACCTGTGAAGGAGCAAGGGGTGAATCTGTCTCATAGACTGTGGTGATGCCTGTCATACAAAATGTCCACGTCCGTAAATATGTGTAACTTTAAGCCTTAATAAAATGTAAACAGATGAGTTATATAAAAAGTCACCCCCGTACAGTTGTCAGGAATGTTGAAATTAGCTACAGAGACCAAAATGGAGGTTGCTGCTTGTACAAGATACAAAAAATTGCTGAATCCTACAATTCTCATTATGCAACTTAAGAGAACTCCTCCAACCTAGTTTGCAACACAGGCTTTCTGTTAAAAATGTAAGGTTTCTTAACACATGCTGAGGTCATCAGGGTTATTTCCTCCTTCAGAAGCTGAGCAGTACAAGCTTAATTAATAGACTGAATTGCCATTTGGTTTCACTTCATCCATTTAGCTTGCCATCGTGTTCATGTCAGGCCCCCAGGAAGTGAGCCGGACTTTGAGGCTAATTTGACATAGTGGCCGAAGTGTGTAACTACAAAATTGGGGTCCCTCATGTGATGTCATTGGGCCCAAATTACTTTGCCCATAGACTTAGGGAAAGAGACATCTGCAAAACAATGGATACATTTTTATGAGGGTCACAACCCCCACAAAATGATTCATTTCACTACATGGATTTGATCCATTTGATCCGATAACATTTCGTAAGTCTAGAAGAGCCGCGTGTTAAAATAAATTTCCCCATTAAGGTTAGCGGAGTGCTAAACTAGAAGTTAGCCACTCGACTGGTGAAGACTCTAATGTGCCTGCTCTATGGGCCCAGTGATGTGGAAGATCCAGATAATTTTACACCTGGGAAGTCAAAGTTATTTTTTGTTTCATGCGCCACAGAGCAACTTTAATAAAAATGAATGGGCCTCACCTCCAACATTTTTTTTCCACCTACATCTAAGAAATCTATTGATTTGCGAGTAATCATTTTTTCGTAAGTTAGCTTACCTCAACTTTTACAGTTGGTTCAAAGTTGCTATATTTTTCGTAAATGTAGCTAGGTAGCCAGCTAGCTGTGTCTGAAGATGACATTCCCACTTATAACCATGCCTAAGCTTTGATTAGTCAATTGTTACTCCTGTGAGTGGAAACAGCTGTCTGCGAGCAGAACATCAGGTGTATTCAGGTTGCTTGAGACATGGGCAGCAATTCAGAGGTGTGGAACTAGAATAGAGCAGTACTCTTCAGAAACTGATCTTCAGGTGTAATATCAGGGAAAAGCCTTTCGGAATGAGTGCAAAGTTAAAATGTGTGGGGGGGGCAGTCAATGAAATAAAAAACCTTCATGAATGACAATAAATTCACATATTCTTTTTGTCTGTCTAAAGCGCCTAGCATCTTTACTGATAGTGACCCAGCTGGTGAACCAGGTGACAGAGGTGGTCATACCCTTCCTGGTGGACCGCTTCATCAGCGCCCCCAAGAGGACAGAGAGTGAGGACGACCCAGATGAGGACAAATTTAGGAATCAAGGCACCCTGCCTGCTTTCCCAGTGAGTGTACAGTATTCATGCCAAAAGAGGGATTAGAAAACACTCTGGCAGCATCTGACACAGCTTCTTGTTTCGCCACAGGGCTTGTTTGCAGAGTACATCGAGCTCCTGGTGCAGTTTGGGTATTTGAGTCTTTTCTCTTGCGTGTATCCCCTGACGGCCGTGCTGCTGCTCATCAATAACCTAACAGAGATCCGATCGGATGCTTACAAGATGTGCAAACTCTTCCGGAAACCCTTCTGCTCTCCTGTGTCTAACATGGGCGTGTGGCGGGTCAGCAGAAAACACAACACACAATAGAAATGAGAGGCGCCCAGTATGTCACACTCAGCTACGCGAGAACAGCTCATGTCATTGTCTTGTGTTTCAGATTGCTTTCGAGGTCCTGAGTTTTGTCTCTGTTGTGTCCAACTGCTGGCTACTGCTGCTGTCACCATGGATACAAAGGCTGTCTCAGGAGGGCGAGTGGAGCAGCACAAACATTCTGCTGATGGCTGTTTTGGTGGAGGTAAGAGGGAGGACACAGAGGTTGTCAGTGAGAGTCACATTAAGAATAATTACAGCCTGACATTTTGACCTGTGTGTGTGTTTGCAGCATGTGCTGATCTTGGTTAAGGTGGTTTTGTCGGTGCTGATCCCCGATGAACCGGACTGGATCCGTAAAAAGAGAGAGCATATTGAGTTCACATCCAGGCAGGCCTTGAGAGAGCAGGTTAACCCTCCACCACAGATTTCATTACTTAGCATTTTGGTGTTCTCCTTCATCAGTGTGATGACTTCTCTTTCTTTTCTTCCAGAAACTGCATTCTAAAGAGTCTTGATTGCATTTCAAAGCGCTGATGCTTCATGTTGTCCTGTGCTGGGCTGCTACAACTAGAAGTACCAACCTCAGTGTTGTGTGGACCGGCAGAGGAGAAGACGAGTCTCCGATCTCCAGAAGGGCCCACAATGTATACTGCTGTGCACGTATCAATATTCACCCCGTACACTTGTCTAGTGTTTCTGCTGCTCTCACTAATTAACAAGGTGCCTCCAATGTGCACCCTTTGATATGCACTCATATTACATACAGTATATACTGCAAGTGCAATTGAAACAGCAGCAGCTAAAAAGTGTTTTGCTTTTTTTTTTCAATATTAGACAGCAGATGGAATGTATTGGTTATGTTTGCAGAGTAGATGCCCTTTTAAAAAGATAATGTTATGATAATGGAGGTTTTCACAGGCTTTGCTCAGATTTAATGAGGGAAAACTGAAGAGCTCTTGTAAAATCACTATGGCTACAGTCTGTACAGTCAGCATTTACAGAAGTAAAGGACAGACAGGACAAAGTGTTTTATATTATGGGCAGGTTCATAAACAGACAGAATACTTGACAAAATCATCCTTGTTTTGGCAGGAGGACTCTTTCAGGAGGGTGTTTGCTAAGATTTCTTTGTGATAAGCTACAGGTAGTGTTAAGGATTCAAAAGGACAGTATCATCACTTGAGGGATTATGAGATAAAAAGATAAAACTTTATTTATCTCAAAGGGAACTGCTGTGGAAAGTTTCAGTACAAAAGGGGAAGAGTGCAAATATACAGAGTGCAAATATTAGTCTTTAAGACAAAAAGCAAAAAAGTGTCTTTAATCAGAATAGGGGTTGGCTCGTAGTAATGAAACCACCAGCAATTATCACCCAACAGTGCAGTTCTCCTCAGCTCTGCAGAGTATTTTAGCACCTTTTAGCTCATTGTTTTGGTTTTCTGGTCCTGCAGCTTTGCACTTTTGATTGACTTTCACAACTCAAATATCAGCCTGAAGTCAGCTGTTTTCAGTAAAAAGAAAACTCTGATAAACCCATTTTGTTCTACCAAGCAGCAGACACACAGTTAGAGACTAGCTGGTGAACATAATGGAGCATTTAGCAGCTAGAGGGCCAGATACTTCCCTAAGGAGTTGGTGGGGACCAAAAGCAGAGCTAAAAAGAAAGTAAATTAAGGACATCAGGTGCACAGAAACACAGCTCCAAATAAATGATAATGTTACTCTGTGAGGGCTGGATGTGTAAATAAGCAACTCTTTAGAAGTTAGCCATGCCAACTCTTTAAAGGGGTATTATGTTAAAGAGACACCCCCAAATCAAAAGTACATATTTTTCCTCTTACCTGTATTGCTATGTATCAGTCTAGATTGTTTTGGTGTGAGTTGCTGAGTGTTGGAGATATCAGCTGTAGAGATGTCTGTCTTTTCTCAAAAGTAATGGAACTAGATGGCACTCGGCTTGTGGTGCTCAAAGCTCCAAAAAATACATTTTTAAAATGCAACAGCAATGTCTCTCTCTGGAAATTATGACGCGGTTACTCAAGATAATCCACAGACCTTGATGTGAGCAGTTTCATGTAGGAGCTATTTTCTTTTCTATGGAACTACACCAGTCAACTGTATCACTGCACAGAAGGAAGCGTGCAACTACTGCTAGCTCACCTATCACTGAGCTAGCTAAAATTACAGCTCATCTGATGAGGATGCCATTAATGTTTACATCTCGCGCTGTCACGAGCACAAGGCTTTTGTCTATACACACATCCTTCTGCGTGGGGATACAGTTGACAGGTGTAGTTTGGCAGAAGGAAAATAGTTGCTACATGAAACTGCTAACAATTGTGGATTATCTTGAATAACCAGGTCATGATTTCTGGAAAGAGACGTTGCTGTTGAATTTTTCAAATGTATTTTTTGGCGCTTTGAACATCACAAGCTGGGTGGCATCTAGTACCATTATATTGGAGAGAAGGCAGACATCTCTACGGTTGATATCTCTAACACTCAGCAACTCACACCAAAACAATCTAGACTGATAAATAGCACTATGGGTAATAGGAAAAGATGCTCTGATTTTGTGCTAAACTGTCCCTATTATGTTGTGTTTAGAAAAGAAAGACAATTATTGCAGCTTTGAATTTAGAAAATCATTAATTATGTCTGTAACTCCATCAAATGCGCTAAAAAAGTTTGTGATGTAATCCTTTAACTAATACTGCAGTCTGTATTCTCAGTTATAGTATGGTGCCAGGTGAGTTTGGTACTCAGTCAGTATTGACAGTGGAAAGAATTCACATCCTGAAGACTCTGACAGTGGAGTATTTTACATATTTATTTATAAATGTTCCACAATAATGGGTTTATTATCTGTTATTGTGCTAAATTAACTTTATTGTCTGAACTGGCATTTACAGGTCCAGTGTGTAGCATTTAGTGGCATCTAGTGGTGATGTTGCAAATTGCAACCAACTGAGACTTCTCGTGTGCGCCAAGTTTGTAGAAGAACTACAGCAGCCAGCACAAATGCTCATAAATGCGAATGGCCCCATCTAAAGTTAGTGTTTGGTTTGTTCATTCTTGGCTACTGTAGGACAACATGGCGGACTTCATGGGGACCCACTCCGTATGTAGATATAAACGGCTCATTGCATGGTAACGAAAACAAAGCAATTCTTATATTCAAGTGATTATAAACTAATAACAACAAAGTTATAATTATGTTACCATTCCTGCCAATAGATGCCCCTAAATCCTGCACACTGGACCTTTAAGAACTATCAAGAAATGATGAGAAACACTTAGAGATTTGCTTCTGGTTGAGTAGTTAGGAGAATATGTTTCATTTGTACTCTCCCTTGATGGTGCTGCCCGCTCCTTGAATAATCACAATATGGTTATAGTATGCATGATTATAATATGAGAACAGTAAGCTATGTGCTGAGATTTGGTTTGCAGTGAAAGTGATGGGGAGCTACCAAAGAACCGCTATGTGCTTTGCTATTAGAGATGTATATTTTTTTCTGTGTGGATTTCAGTCTTTCCTCACTCACCCATCTGCTGTGTGCCTCGAAGAATGAGTTCACTGTGCTGCAACAACTACTTCACCTTACAGTCGAACACTTCCATAATATTGGTGTTATTTCACTGTTCACTGCTGGCAGATTTGACTTCATATAATATATGTGTAGATGAATCCACTGGGGAGGTCCGCTATTTCTTCAATCCTTGCTCAACAGTGCTGTGGTGCTTACTACATGTTATTGATTTTAGGAGTTAGTATTCTGTGCAGCCACCAGGAGGCAGTATACACTTTCCATTTTATTCCCCATGCAGCTTTTCACAAGCCCTGGTGGCTGTAGGACTGTCTCAGTAAAGATGCAGATGGGTGGTGAGACTTCCTCATGAGGCTGCACATGTGCACTCCTCACACTAATCATAAAACTAGGTGTGTGTGTGTGTGTGTGTGTGTGTGTGTGTGTGTGTGTGTGTGTGTGTGCATGCTCTGTTCTGAAGGGTTGTATTGAATTATATCGAAAGATAAACATTTAGATAATCTGGTCCCAGGATCAAGATATCAGGTCAGAAACAGAGGTGATAATGTTTGCTGGTTGTCCTGTAATAAACTCACAGAAGGAAACTGGTTGTTTGCTGTGTCGACTCTTTATGAAAAGAAGCATGAAAGGATTCAACCTTTCCAAGCTTCTTCACTCCACTACATATATTTGACAGCCACAGTTACTGGTTTCTTTACTAGAGCTGAAATGTTAAATTATGATATGCACTTAACATCATTTTATACATCAGATTAATTGATAATAGAAAGAATTATTATCAGCCCTATATTTAACAGATTAGGATCCCGGAAACACAATATGATGAGCTTGTAGAATATAGTATGATGGTTCTGATTGCTGAAACCACCAAACAGTAGATAAGAATGTTTAAGATTAGTTCCACCTCGACCAGCTATGACATTGAAATGCTTCATACACGTTATTGGATTTACAATAATTATCCAATAATGTACAGACTAAGGAAAAAAGGACAGGAGCCATTCTGCTGCACAATGAATTTTGAGTACATTTTGCTGATAATACTTATGTACTTTTACTTGATGGTCCAGTGTGCAGGATTTAATGGCATCTAATGGTGAGGTTGCAGAACTGACACATCTCACATATAGGAGAACTATAATGGCTGGTGCTAAAATATTAAAGGGCCTTTTTAGAGAGTGTTTTGGTTTGTCTGTTCTGAGCTACTGTAGAACAACATGGCAGACTCAATGGATGAGGGCCAGCTCCCTATGTAGATGTAAATGCCTCAATCAGGTAACAAAAACACAACAAATCTTTTTTGGGGGGGTGATTATGAACTAATGAACATAGTACTATATTCCTTACCTGCCAATAGATACCACTAGATCCTACACACTAGATCTTTAAGACAGAATTTGAATGCAGGATTTTAACTTGAAATGGAGTATTTTACACTGTGGCACTGCTACTTTTACTCCCACCAATCGCTGTATTATTGATTGTCTGTGCTGGTGATTTAGTTATTGAATTTTTAGTCCTCACATGAACATTTGGCTTATCATTATGAGTCAGAATAGCAATGTCTGAGGTATCATGATCTGAGGAACACGGCCCACTTAACCTACTGCAGAGCCCTAAGGCAAAACAAACTCTGGGGCCCTACTGACCCCCCCATTCCTCCCACTCTCTTTGCTTTATTATTTCAGTTGATACAGAGCACATTTTCAAACATATGCAGTTTATTGAAATACTGTTTTTGGGGCAGCTCAGGCCCCAGATGCCTGTATTACCTGGTTGGTAATCCAGCTTTGTGGAGAAGGGGATATTTAGTCTCTGGTGTGTGTGTGGGGGAAACAACACAGTATATGAGAGGCTCACCCCCGAATGTCCTCATATCCATGAACACCCCTGCATACACCAGACCTGCACAGGGCTGCTTGGATTGGATTTACCTCTTGGCAAAGAGGAGCAAGGACAGTCACCATTGAAAAGTTAAAAACAGGCGATTTATTCATTATATGTACAGATAAATATTATAATTTGTTTATTAAGTGGCCCCTGGCCTCCTATCATTTTGCAAAAGCGCCCCCCCGGGCAATGCCAGTTGAATATCCCCTGCTGTACATTATCCTTGCCCACGTTGTCTATAAAAACAGCACACTGCACACATTCATCCCGTTGATTTAATCCATTTTAATAAATAAATACAGAAAAATAAGTTCATGGCTCCATAGAGACGTGGTCCTAGTTACAATGCAGGTCAGTAGACACAGACACACTGAAGAGAGACAGGCTGCAGTCACACAAGGACAAATAATGAGATTTTATCCCTCCTCTGAACAGATTATATGCTTCCACGGCTGATGAAATGCGAGTGATAATCTGATTTCACGTGACATCCGCTCCGTTTATACAGAAGGCGGCGAGCGTCCCATCACAGGACACACGTTAATAACCCAATGTGTTGTACCCGTGAAGCTGCAGTGACTGACAGGAATATGCTGTGTTTACTGAACTATAGGAGGAAGATGTAGTTTATAGCTTTGGCCTTCTTTAACTTTACAAAACATTTCATTTCTTGTCTCGCCTTCGAAAGAGGAAAAATACAGTGCGAATGAGAAAATACAGAAACACGCAGAGGCATTATATGGTAAAATAATACCATACAGAGGGACTCCTCAGCTACACAATGACATATCACATCATTCCGTCTGGATGACTAACAAATCTATCCATCAGTACAGGGATACTGCTTGTACAAAGCTATCAGCTACAGTAGTCGTACTGTGTGCAATTCATCATTCAGACATTTACCTCAAGGTACTTACAGTTACACAAGAACAATGTCCTGTCAGATCCAAGACACATGGAGGTATATTGTGATAAATAACAGTAATAACATGCACAAAGTCACATATCTCTTCAGAGAATTAATACCTTTGTCACGTTATAATAAAAAAAAAGATCAAGGAACTTCATTTCTGCACATCCAAAATAAGACTGTTAAACTGTTCAGTATGAATAAAAGAAGAAGTTCAAATACAATGGAAGACCTGCATCCCAATCAATGATCAATGATCCTATCAACAGTATTATACAGTGTGTTAGGACAAGTCATTATATCAATCAGACTTTAGGATTAAGAGAACAGAAAATCATATCATCATCTCAGTCTTAGGCATATATTACACAGTATCATATATCATATATCATAACAGTCTCAGTCTTTCTTTAATAGAGCTTATATTAAGAGCTTTTAAACCAAAGAGAGAAGCAGGTTGTGCAAAGGGAAGAGCAAACGAGTGCTACTCTGTAGCAGAAGCTGGTTCAAAGTTCATTCTAATTCATATATTACAAAATATGAAATCGTGGATCTACTGGACCATTCTGACCCTTGGAGCTTTTTACAGTCAGAACCAAAGTGACACAGTGGCCATGTACAGTGTGAAACCCATTTCATCGTTGTAGGCACCTTTTAAACAAACAAAACAGACTATAGCTTATTCAATAAAAACTGTTGCACCCTTTACGTCTGTCTCTTGCTCTCCTCATCAGCCTCCTTTCCTTCCTGTAGGTCCAGTATTGTTTCTAAGCTACAGATTGGACACAGTCTAGTCATTGTAATTCTATGGTTGCTCCTGTAACAGCAGCAAATGCATGAGGTTCTACTAAGTCTGACTACTGTGCTGTACACCACCTCTAGCTTAACACAATGTTTATTACATGAGCACAATGCTAGGACTTTGTAGGTATGAAGCTGTACACGTCCCATCCTGGTGTTTGCATGCTGAGGGCCTTTCCTCTCCCACCTCAAGGTCTCTGCAGCAGAAAGGCTCAGCAGGCAGCGCAGCGGTTTGCCACTTCACAAGGTATGTGCTCTGCAGCCGACCACCTGCCTGCTGCTAAACAGTCTGCACATCCCAAGCGAGCGAGCAGCACATCACAGGCAGCACAGTTGCACTTATAGCACGTGGCAACAGTTGTACTGAGCCAGCGGCAGGATCTTGGACTTGTTGTGAGTTGGTATGTTGAAGGCAAGAGCTTTCTCACACAGAGGGAACTGAAAGAGTCTCTCACGCAGCTTTATGCTGTGTCGCTTCCCCTGCTCCACCCTCGGAGCGGCCTCATCACGCGTCCCCGGTGCATTGTGGGGTTGAGATCTGTCTGTCGAAAGGTCATCTCTTCCACCCTCCTCTGTTTTGTCGTCTTGTTCTGATTCTCTTCTCGTTTCCTTCGCCCTCGCCTCCTTCTCGTTCAGGATGAGTCCAGAGGAGGACATGGGGATGGAGGGCGCAGAGGATTCAGGGAGGAGAGGAGGAGGTTTGTTGGTGTTGTTGTTCGGCTCTGTCTCCCCGTCCTTTTCTTCCTCTGAGTTTGTGGAGTCTGGCTGCCCCTGACAGCACGGCACCCCAAAACCAGGAAGAGATGGCGGAGGGACTTCAGGTGTCTGACAGACAGGCTTGTCTCCATGACTGACTGGCTGGTCTGAAATCACACACCCACTGTTTTCTCTCTCTATTTCCATCTCCTCCATCTCTTCCTGCTCCTCCTCTTCCTCCTTCATTATCTCCTCTAAGCTCCCTAGTTCTTGTTCCTTTTCCCTGCACTCTTGATCATCTGCACCATCAACCATCTCCTCAGCTTCTTGTTCTGGCTCTGCTACTGACAAAGATACCAAACCTTCACCCTCTTTTGCCAAACTGCCGTCCTCTTCTTCTTCCTCCTCCTCTTCCTCCTCCTCTTCTTCCTCACAGATCTGCTGTAGTGCAGGCAGGTTCTTGGCGACTGGAGGCTCTTCAGCCGGAGGCTGACGGAGGGTAAAGCTGAGGCTGGGCTGCCAGGGGCCAGGGAAGACCTGCTGAGACTGGGGCCTCGTGGCAAGCAGGTCACCACACTCAGGTAAACCTAAGCGGGGGGAGCTGGGTGAGAGGGCCCCTGAGAGCCAGTATGGTGGGGCCTCTGGGCTGAGCAGGGCATCATCCAGCCCCTGCAGCCAGTGATGGGCCTCAATCTCTTCAAGTGAGGCTCGGCGAGACGGGTCTTTCTGGAGCATCCTGGAGATCAGACTGACGGGGAAAACACAGAGAGGTTTATTGTTTCATGGAGATGATACAAGCTGCGGTTTGCTTGCTTTATTTTCTGCATCACATTTGGATGATCAGCCACTACAGCAAATGAATTCACATAGACAATGAGCTGATTAAGATCTGATCTGTCTTCTCCACACATCTTACTGAAATTCCCTGAAACCTGTTTAAGTTTAATGTCCAGAAGGTTGTTCTGTTCCATTCTGCTCCCCTTCTGTAATCAAATACGCCATCATGTGGCTCAGGGCTAAGTCATATGACAAGTGCTGGTTCAGATGTACCAGGATGTGTTTGCTGCTGCAGATAATCTAACAAACTACTTGGTTGAAGTTACTTTCTGCCTGTTGCCTTCTAGAGAACAGGAAATCAGTGTATCAAGGCATTCATTCAGGAAGTTTTCAGAGCAAGATCTGCAAAGAGATGCAGCCAGTGTTTTACATGTGCAAGCTGCACTGCTGTTCTGCAAGCTGCAAACCGCACCAACCACTGTTACATAAATTCACATAATGTCATGTTTCAGTATTTTTAAAATGCCGATTTCACCATCCTGGATGTATGTATGCTCATGTTTACATAATGTTGGGTTTGTTCCATGTTTTTCTCATTGTCTACAGAGTCAATCCAATGAGAAGACCAAAACAACAATGTGTTAGTCTTTGTGTCAGTGCCACTGACTTTCCTTCTCCGTCTTTGGTACTGAGTCCTAAACCCACTCATCCCTGCCTGAAGAAGTACATCTTTAAAAAATAGCTCAAATATAATTGGATTTTACAAAAAAAGGCTCAGTAATGTCCTCAAACAGCTGGGCACTGTTGATTTTACAAAACATTATTCAAACAGGATTATATAGTCTGTTTTGAGGGGGATATTTCTGGCTGCAAATTAAGACACATTTGTTGCTTTGGTGAGTATTTATGCCTCCATACTGGTGTATGTAGGATAAGAACAGGGTAATACGGAGAAAATCCAATGTCATGTTTTTTTTTGTTTGTTCGCTTTGTAACCAAATAGCTTGACACTGATACTGCAGTGATATTGTAGGGCTGACCATAGAAGAAGCTAGAATAAAGCTAGAACAGTTCAGATCTAGTATCTAGTCTCATATCACAATATCCATATAGTATCAATATATTGCCTGGCCCTAACTTAAAATAATCACAGTTTGTGTTCATGGTAATGACGACACATCACTTGTCAGCCAGTGTAACTGTGTGTCTAAATAATGTGTTTTGTTTGAATTCAGATTTTTTTCTGCTTTACAAACCGTAACATTACATAACATTACATTACAAGACTGGTCCAGAAAAAAAGAAGCACAATAATATGAGGTTATGTAATTATTGTGTACGTCAGTCCGATTATAAATGTGTCTTTAATACTGTTTGGGAAACAATGGAGCTCAATGGCACAGAGGAAACAGGTGTATCAGGCTTGGGATACACACACTCTACTTGCTGGCGGGATCAACTAATTGTTGGTTTCCGTGTTTTCATTTGATTTGTGTAGAAAAGCTTGCCCCACCACCTTTTTTTTTTATTCTACCTACAGGGTTTTGTGCGAGTTCAGCAGGTTAAATGTAAGATTTTTAAAGACCAATTTATCTCTCACAGTTAAGTATGTTGGAAAACCAGGAGAGTAAATATGACCTGGAATTATCACATTGTTTCATAACTTCCTGGCAGTACAACAATTATTTCTGATGATAAATTAATTATGTTAATGCGACCTGCATAAGCAGCAGAAAATGGATGGATGGATTAAGCAATTAAAAATGATTAATTAATGTAAATTCATGTATTTTTTGGCAAAAATTGACACTTGCCCGTTATGAATCAATGAGCTTCCTTGCTAGTGGAGCTCGCTGTAGTGACAGTGCTTGTTAGAGGTCTGAGGGTGCTCTGACAAAGACTGAACAGCCTTCTGCACACGCAATCTACTGTTTAAACTAACAATATTGTTTTAATCTGCGATGAAGCCTGCAATCAGATACAAAAACATTTTAAGACTAACATCCCTGCCTGCAGACGTTTTAATATCTTCTACGGCCTTGTTTGAGAAGACTTTCAAGACCTGTAGATACCCTTGTACAGGCATTTGGATTTTAACAACAAATGTAAAAGGGGTCAGTGCTTTTTGAATGTGGATCTGAATTTCCATTTAGATTTCATAAACCCCTGCCAACCATCTTCTTCCCCTATTGATTATTCCTCTGTTAAGTCAATACTGACCTAGTGAAATTATCTGGAAGACTGTGCTTTGAGGTTTTTTTTTTAAATCTCAGACTAATGTCATTCGCTCTCCAAAGCTGCAGCAGCAGATTAAACTGTGCTGATGTTTACCCTGCAGTTGTGTGAGCTGAGGACAGCGTGTGTGTTTGGGTTGGAGGTGTGAGGAGTGAAGGTGAGGTGAGAAGACACACGAGTACATGTGAGTTGTATTTTGTTCCGGGGTGTTTCTGTGTGCCTCCGACAGGACTGAAACACGGTGAGGCAGATGTTTTGTATTAAAGACAGCAAAAGCAAAAATATTTGACAGATAACACTCACTGTTTAAAGCCCAAAAAGTGTTCACTGTTTTAGCAAGAAACTCTATTTGCAGCAGGGTGGAGAAGCCTGTGAGATAACGAGGACACTAACATTATCCACTGAAACGCACGCTAATGAGATGATTTTACGGTCAGCAGCTTCTTAAGATGGAGTGACCCAACACATTAATTGCACAGCAGCAGCAAACCTTTGGGAGCAGAACGAGCCTTTAATGAAGATTCAATTTGCAATCAAGAAATAAAACCGCAAAGATAATAAAATCTTTGTATTTTACATTTAACTCTTTTTTTGAAAGCTGTGATCAGAGACGGACCTTAATCATACCAGTCATTGCTATGGTTTAACACTAGTGTCATTAATCAGTACTCACTCTTTGCAGTCGTCTGAAACATGCTCGGGGACACAGTAGCGACAGTCCAGAATCATGACCAGAGTCTCGCTGTCGTTGGTTTCCTGGAAGGGAGGGACTCCGCACACCAACATGTACAGGATCACCCCAAGAGACCAGATATCTGGAACACACACACACACACACACACACACGTGCACACAGAACAGCACAAAAATTAGCCTTAAATAGCAAATCATGTCAGGCCTTAAAAAAGCCTAAAATCCCTCTGCTATCAGATCATATTTAGAATTCTGTGAGCTTCATTAGGGATTTTAAAAATAAATGTCCCTTTTGAATTTGACTTGAAAACACCCCTGCAGTTGTTTTCTAAAGCAGCACACAGACGAGGTGAAGGCCTGATACTATTCTATAAATCCACATAAAAGGATCAACTCTGGATCACGGTCAAAATAACAGCATTATTTATTGATTCTATTTTCCCATACCTCCTTCACACCCTTCACAGAGAGGTCAGAGGTCAAGGGTCAGGGAAGCAAACATAGCAGTGTTCTTGCCAAGTGGTCCATGGGGTTACATTAGGTTGTTCCTCCAGGACGTGAGAAAATTCAGGAGGAAAGTGTGTGAGTAACAGCTGGGTGACCGGGTTTCTGCGTGTAAATTTTGAGGCCCACGCTGCAGATGGCTGGGCTCAGTGCTCTTGACCCCTGAATCAAACACACCGACGATGACACACGATGACACACACACACAGGCTTCCTGGTGCTGACCAACATTGCTGACAGTGTGTTCTTTTCCTATTTCCCCCCCCCCCCTCCCTCCCCCTAGCGTCCTCACGGAGACGCACTGAGAGGAGATCCATGCAAACTCAGAACACCCTGAACCAAGCAAGAACACTGCGCCGGCCAGTTCAAGGCAACACACATACACACATGCATGGGAATGAGTGCTGAGGGCTGAAGGCCATAACAAACAGAGGGCTTGTTGTGGTGGTGTGCTATTCTGAGAATGATCTTGCTCTCCCTTTTTTTTTCCTTCTGTCTCTCCCTGTGTTTCTACCAAACACTGGAAAAAGGGAACACGGCACATGCTGTTCACATCATGTGTTAACCCTGATGTAACACTAGAAATAAAGCCAGGTCACGTACCTAATAAACACCGCCTCTGCTAATATCACATTTGTTTCGAGTCAGCTGAAGGACAGTTCCAGTTATTTTCGACCTTGGTCTTTTACCCTAGTTTTAGCTTTCTTAATCTTTCAGCAGTTTTGTCAACACAGAGTTTTACAGCGAGCACTGAACTCCTATATTAAAACACAGAAGCACATGAGTCATAGCACATGAATTTAAAAAATGTTGCTCATTGACTTCTCACTACATTTTCACTTTAACTCAGTTTGACCATTTTAAGTGTTCTTTACATATTCTGTTTTCTCCCCTGGCTGCTGTTCTGCTATACTCAGGTTAGATCAAAGGAGAAGAAACAAAAGGGCTTTTTTTAACTTAAGAGGGATTCTTTGCATTTTTTACATTCTCTGCATCCATGTGTATTTTTAATACTGCATGTGTTTATGATGTTTACCTAACCCTAATGAACAATAGCACCTTTTGTCTCATTATGTATTAGCCATGCCAGTGCTGTAGCTAAAATATCTCAGTAACTCTCAGGATAGACTGCTTTCAAACTTTGAACAAACATTCATGATCTCCACAGGATGAAATCCTAATGTCTCTGTTTTCCTCATAAGGTCCTATTTTTTATCTTCTTCAATATTTTGATTTATGACCAAATACCTCCAAAACTATTGACATTCTGATCAGCCTCAGCTGTAGTTAAAGGCTCTGTTCACAATATTCAGTGCATTAATATAGCAGCAAACCACTCTTTGCTATGTAAAGATAGAGTGGAGTAATGGCGTCCTAAACAGAAAATAAATGCTATCTGTGTGTGTGTTGTAATCCAAGCTTCTCTGTCTTTTGATCTAGTAAACCAGTCTGTCTGCATGTACAGTTTAGAGCATGTGTTTATCCACTGGCTAGCTTGCTGATATGGGGATGGCATCCTGACAAAAGTTTAGCGCCCATCCTCTGGTTCCAAGCTGGTTAACATCATTAGCAATGTCAGCACTGTTGTGGATGGATTATGAGACAATGGGCCCCTGGGCAAAGACATGAACGCCCCAACGCATTTCTTATGTAGGAGCAACACACATAGACTTTGTGGTGGTTTGGCCAACCTAGTCTCACTCCCAACTCATCAAATACCGATGTTTGGTCAGTAGCCCTCAGCATCAGACACCAACGCACAGAGGCACCCTTAGGCAGACACTCACCTGGCAGCTGCATTTTTTGATGCTGCGGCTGACTACCAAAGTATAAAGACTGGCAAAGTCTGCATAGGGCTGGTGGCAGGGGAGGTGGATGGGTCAAACAAACTCCGGACTTTCACCTGGGAGCCCGCTGTTAGTGTACCGTGTGAAACCATAATTCAATCAAGTTCAAGTTATTTTAGCACAACATAGTGTGTTAATATGTGTAGCATGCTGTGCTAGTGACATATGTCAGCTGACGTTACATTATGTTAGTAACAAACATACTTATTTTAAGCGAAAAAATTACATTTTTTTTCTCATCCTAACTCTGTGCTAGTGTTGCCTAAACCTAAGGAAGTAAACCTACCTATGTTGTAAGTTTATTTTGAAAAAGACTTTATGCATTTAATGAGCCGAAACTGTACATATCCTGTGCAAATAGAGGTTTATGTAGGGACGCTGACCAAATGTGTGTATTTGATGAGGTAGGAGTGAAAAAGTGTTGCTGCCTTGTTGGTGTTCTGTGTCTCTTTGTAGTCATGCTCCCTCTCTAAGGTAATTTTGTGTATTTTTTGGTTGTTTTGTGTCTCTTTGCAGTTCATTTGCATCTTTGTGGACATTTTTCTCTGTGATATTCATTTTATGTCATCCAGAGGGCCAGAGCCAGAGGGCCCGTGACGCTCTGGGCCCTGGGCCTGTGCCCAGTCGGCCAGTTTATTAATCAATCCATCAGCACTGTTGCCTTGGTACACTGTTATAGTGTGCTAACATGCTAAACCAAGATGGTGAACGTGGTAACATTACACCTGCTAAACATCAACATGTTGGAATTGTCACTGTGAGCATGTTAGCATGCTGACATTAGCATTTATCTCACATTACCACTGTGCCTCAGTACAGCCTCAAAGAGCTGCCAGCATGGCAACAGTGTGAGTATAACGAAGTTTGACATTTATGATCTTATAACTGCTGAAAAAAATGGAAAAAAAAAAATCCTTGATATCAACTTTATTATAAAGTTGATATCAAAATTCTTTTCTGATATGTAAGTGCAGAGCATTAGATGAGATATGAATGCAGCATCACTGTTTGTGCAAACAGCTTGTCAATTAGTTCTTACTATTTAACACATGTAATAGTGTGATATGGACAAGTTTTAGGGTACAGATAATCCTTGCATTGCCGAGATATGGACAGTTGGCAGGTTCATAAGATTTTAGAGTGACATTAATAAGCAATAATACACAGTGATATCAGTAAAGACCTGCCTTTGTAGAAAAACATTTTCATTATATCATAAGCAGATCAGACAGACAGGGATTCATGAATCTGCTCTTTCAGTGCACAATAAAAATCCAGACACTGTGGTTCATTCAGATCCATATCTGTCCATAGATTCTCACGTACCAGTCCCATGTGTGATAAACATCAGCCATTGTCCCACATTATACTCATGATGGTCCAAACAACAGCCCTCAGTCCTTGCCATACAATGTACACTCACATGCACGCTCACGAGCACGCTCTTTTCGGTCAAGAGAAGTGTTATGCAACAGGGAGGAGAAGCCACTGAGTGCTGGGAGTGTACTCTTCTCTGCTCGCTGGGGAATATCACACTTTCTCACCATGCATTAGTTGCCTGCTGACAGCACAAACATCAACTCCACACACACACACACACACACACACACACACACACACACACACACACAGTATAAACCAGATGTTAGCAGAAAAAGTTTGTGCGCAGAGTTCAGCAGTAGAATGCATGGTCCTGGTTTTGTGGTTGGCTGTGGTCCTTTTTAGGGGCTGCCTGTTTAATGTGCGCATTTCAAGACTAAATACGTCATAAAGGGTCAGCTAAGTCAGCCTTGTTCCAAAGGGACCTCCAGGTTCAGACAAAGAATGCGGGCCTTTTTGCCCACATTTGGAGGACAAAACTAAAATATCCCAACATCCATTGCAAGGCAGTAACATATTAATGGTGCATTCAGGTCATCAGTCACTGATAAACACACTTTATCATATAAACTGGACCTATTATTGAGCCATTTTTCCTCATGATCTTGACAAATTTCATTATTCTGACATGATTATCTTCTAACTGATATATTAGTCCTGATAAAGCTGGGAAACAGAGGACTATGTACAGAACAGAGGTGCATTTTTCTTTAACCGATATAGCGTAGACATGATTGTCACTACTTTTTTGAGTCCTTGTAGTCACCTCCTAGTGACATTAGAGTAGCTTGGGTGTAAATTCCACTCCGATCTGTCTAACACTGCACTATTTCTTGAGAATCAGATGAGGTCAATGGGTAATGTAAGGCATGTTAGGTGCTCTTAAAATATCTAAGACAGCAATTATAACTTTTTAAAGATGTGACTTACAAAAGACAGATTTAAACTTTTATAAAATTAAGTTTTTGTCATATTTGCTGAAACTGTCACTACATCCATATAGCAGTACATGACACAGATTATTTATATAAAAAAATCATGTTCCTCCTCCTCATAGTGCTTCTAATGGCATTTACAAGAATCCATTATGGCTGAACCAAAAACAACCAATCGGAGAAGTCACTAACGCAGCTGTCAAACTGTCAAACTAAGCTTTGCTGATCAAATATGAATTGAGATTCTGTTACTACATCGCTAATTTATCATCTCAAATATTTTCAGAAATATTTTAGTCTACTGTGCAACAGCTGGTGCGCGGTGCTTGGTTTTGGGTTGACTGTTTATAACATGGCAGCTGGGTCACAAACGTTCTCATTTCACAGCTAAACAGTACACTAAAATGTTCTTGAAAACATCTGCAACGATAAAATGCGATCCTGTAACGAAATCTT